AAAAAAACGATCGATCCGGGAACGCCTGAAAAGGAGGCTACCTCCAGACCTGGACCAGCGGCGTGGAGGGGGAGCTTTGGCAATGGTCGCTAGGCCGGTTGTTTTAGGAGCGAACTGAATTTAGCGTAGTTCGTAGTTTCCGATCCATCCCACCACCCACCCACCCACATGCAGACCCCCATATCATGTATGACAAAAGTAAACATTCTTGTCTTTCACTTTTTATACCGTAATTAGTCACGGTGTATCCACTTGTCCAAACTTCAAAGATATGACATTTCTGAATGGCTCTCAGTCTTGCCCTCGTCTGGAAGTTTACGGGACCGAAAATGTCACATTTTACGTACACAGTCCTAAACACTCGTACTCTATACTAGCCACTGGCAACGTTTTTCAAACGAGGAAATTAAAGCTCTTTTAAGTTGTCTGATAAGAAGTCTAGCTTATTTATACAAACGATACCAACTAGCTTTGATATTTACAAAATTAATGCCACCTTTGTAAACCCTCCACGTTATAGCGACAATAGCAAGGATGTGTTCTTTACTGAATACAGTTAGAGTAACATAAAGTCTAGCCTGCTCTATGTTTTTATCGCTCTAAAATGTTCACTGGCCGATATAGGTGTCGGCTTTCCAAAACAGGATTCTGTTGTACGCCGATATATAGTTAAGATTTAACTAGTTGAAGCTTTAGTAGATTTTGTGGACCGACATCGTATTTTCCGTCTGGAAGAACACACTGGGCACGAACACTGCCAGTCCTGAACTACGTATACGTAGAACTACCGTACAATGTCAAACTTTCGACACGAACACGCCTTGAGCAAACCACTTGTCAAGTCAGTCACATAGTACCTCGTTTATCCAAATCCATTTAAGATATTCAATAGGCTACATTTAAAACCGCAGTACGTCGTAGTTGACATCAGTCTTAAATTCGTAACAGGTTTCGTTTTGTGCCGTTTCGATCTCCTACACGCTGTCCTTGAGGCCATGATGACAGCACGACAGGGTTGTTTATTGTGTGAGTACATCTGGAAATAGCGGGAAGCCAAGTCGTGGGACGACGAGTGGGAAACTTAATGCAACAACGACGTGACAGATCCTCAGGAAATCGCGTCCTCCAACTCACATCTGAACAGTTCTTGGAGGAATAAAATCATCAAAGTAGACAAAAAACATATGTAAGACTGTCCCGAGGTTAGCGCAAGCTACACGATTTTGGAGGGAAAGTTGCAACATTTAGACACTTTTCAGACTAGCTAAGTCTAGTACTTTTTCCTCAGTATTGTGCCGGTTTCTTTATGTGAAAAAAAGTCAATACGTCACACTATATCCTGATGACTTAAGTGTAAGAACTCTTGTTATAACTTTTTATCCAAGCAAAGATTTAACGCGTAGACTAATGTAAGTCTCAAGGTGACTCATAAGATGAATCTTCTTGTCCTTTTGACCGTCCGACGAATTCAGCAAACGTGACGTCGGTTCGTTTGGAAAGTTACATGTCAAGAACGAAGGACGAAAGGTGAAGACGTCACGAAATTTTCGGCGTGTTCGGGACACTAAAATGGGACAAGGCTAAACAGGAAGAACCGTGCCAAACAGCTCCCAACACTATTTTGGACCCGGTCAATATTTGCAAACGTTCTGAGCTGGTGGGGTTTGCGTACATAGCTGCGGTACGACCGCAAGAATGATTAGAAAAACACCAGCGACATCGACTTGTGTGCGAACGTCAGATACACCATGTCAAAGACGTGATTAGTACGACACTTTAGGGAGCTTTAGATCATTTTCTCGTTTGCTTTCTTTTCCCTGGCCGTATTTTCTTAGGTTGTTTCACGTCGAGAGCTGACCCTACCGTGCCAGGTCAAACGTTTATTTTACTACCTTCGTTCTCCAGTTTGTTGGTCCGTTTGTTCATCTATCTTTCCTCTGTACGTTGTACCAGTCGTCAGTTATACTCTGGCAGGTCATCACTCTGTAGTGTTAGTTGTTTACATCGGTCATCACCGATACCAAAACAGAAGGCGAAGCTGTCAGTCAGTCAATCTGAGTGATGGCCGCTAACTGATGGCCTGTCGAACACACGCACACAGCCCTGTTGACTTCTGCGGCTATGTACAGCCAGTTAGGCAAACGAGAAAGCGGCAGACGTCAGAAACCTCACGGGTTCGTTTGGTAAAATGGACTCCATTGTTCCTTCAGAAAGTTTGAAAACTCCACCGGAGCCAGTCGCCCTGTGAGGCCGCTCTCAGCGGTCGACTCCCAAACTTGAACCTTACTTCCGTTCTCGTGTTAACTCAAATCGCAAATGCCTTTCTGTCACTACATCACGTAAAACCGTTAGAACCAGGCTGGTTAGAACTGAAGCAGGAGGACTTCTGCCCCCCCCCCAGCCTCACATGTTCCTGATATAGGATTGTATGTTAAAGGCCTCTGTACACAGTGCAGTCGTACTAAAGGTGTTTGGCAAGTTCGCTCAACGCTACAGACATTACAAGTTCAATATCAGTACTTCCTTCACTTCCTACCGCATCATAAAGTCATAAGCGCTTTAAATTCGATCATCATTCGATCACTAGATGTGCAGATCGCATTTGAAAGGGCATTTGAAAGGGTTTTTCTCAGAACAAGAGGTTGAACATTAAGGGGCTATTTGTGAAAGGAAAACTATGAATTGTTTTAACACATTTCTCCGGTATACCCACCGGTGCTATCCGGGTAAATCGGCCCAGCAGATGTTTACAGAGGTCGCTGATGATGATAGAAATATTACTTAGAAATTATGTGATACTTACCACATCTGTGGGCTCGTCTTCCGCTGACCCTGGCCGCTCCCTGCCCGGGTCCGAGGTTGTATATCTGGCGTTAGGGAGGGACGCCACGCGGACTAGTGAGTCTGGGCCACTCACGACGGTGAACACAACCAGCAGCCAAACCTTCATCATCATAGTTCTGCCAGCACTTATCCTCTAGTGTATACAGGAGCGGACCGTATCAGGCGCTGTCTCTCTACCTTCTGAAGTCGCACATCGGCCCTAAGCGCCTACTCAAACCGGCCTGGGCATGTCACGTAGGAATAAACACACACAGAGTCGGGTCGAATTCTTCCACGTGGGGCGGACTGACACGCCGGAGGGGTGTGTTTGCACTTCGATGTCTTCCCAGCAAAATACGGCATCAAGTATTTTCGCGAGGCGGTGCGACGCGGGAGCGATTCCAAGTAACAAGTGGTTGTCAAAAGGTGAAGAAAGCTGACGACAGTGGTGATGTGAAGGGACCATGCTGTCAGGGTGGGATGGTCCATTGGGTATATGTTTGGGGGTGCGACCATAGTAAATTTGCTTTTTGAAACACGCAGAATTGTAGGAAGGGATGTGAAGGCGTTGGGTGAATATTGACCCCCCCCCCACCACCACCACCACTCACCCACACCAACTCAAAGTTCGTTGCAAAGAAGGCATTAAAATTGGATTTCTACCAGAATAAACACTTAATCAGTTAATGTGTCCAGAATTTTGACAAGCTTGGAACACCCCCTCCTCCGTTAAATGTTATAAAAATGAAAAACTGCTGTTGCAAACTGCGCAGGGAACAAGGATCGCCAAGGTCGCATAGTTGTAAGGACAGGGTTGTAGGGGGGAGGGTGTGTTGTAAGTTGACCCTCGGTAACGTCACGAAATCCTAGCCTGTACCAGGCTTCGGGAGGCGACTGGAAAGAGTAGAAATCGGCCAGATAGAGAGACAACATGCAAAGGGAGTTAGTCCGCTATAGAGTACACCCGGGTGCGCATCCTACTCTCTAGCGGACCAACTCTCCTGGCATGTTATCTCTCTATTTCGCCGATTTCTACTTTTTGCAGCCGCCTCCCGAAGCCTGGTAGAGGCTAACGAAATCCCACCTCCGTGTAGTGTAGAACCGGCAAACACCATCAAGGCCATGTGCGCGCACAGCGTGAGAGGACAGGAGTTCAAACTTTCAGGGAAGGTTAGAAATCACATGAATCAAAGAGTGGGTGAAATGGCAACGTGTTACTTGGTGCGCACGTCTTCGCCGTGAACTATGTGAGGAGAACATGACATACAAAGAACTATTCGAGTCACTAGCTAGAGCGTCGACAGAGGGCGGATTTTAAGTTATCTCAATATGTATGCTATGTTTTAGTGTATGTTCGGTATGATTGACATCACCCACCACGACATGTTACCCACCCCGCCCCACCCCCAAGCTGATCCGATTCCTATTATGTCAGAGAAAGAGTTAAAATTGTCACTGATAACGTTGAAAGTGATACTTTTCTAACAGTTGTTGTATCCCTCCCCAAACGAGACGTAAAAAAGCAAGTGTTTTATCTTCCTAAACCGTTTTATTCTGATGTTTCCACCACCAAGTTCTCGCCATCATTGAAGTCTATATTTTCCTTTCAATGAATCTTTCCTGAGCTGTGGTTTGAGAACAAACGGAAACCTTAAAGGGGTAACCTGTGCCTGTCTCTCAGAAACACGTGTAGTGCGAAGAATATAAGTCACTGTAAATCCCTTTCTTATCTCCTGCCTCTAGGTGTCTCCTAAATTACAGGCTCATAGGGTCTTTAACGTTAGACAAATAAATACAGGAAAGACTCAGTCGGACAGTCCCTCCTCTGGTCTGCGTGAAGAAATATATAGACGGAACAGATGAGTTCAACTCGAGACCACCGATGCGAGACCCGGTACATGTGTGGGTGCGAGTAAATACGAGGGCCAAGTTGTAGAAATGACTCTGAGTTCCCTACCCCGATCAGGCCATACTGATTTGATTCTATGGATAACGTCTCCGTCATACCACAAAACTGGTGCGATCGCGCGAAAAAAAACAAGTTGCCTTAATTATGAAATCGAAGCGGTCAGGAAGGTTGAACAAAATGACTGAATGAATGCAAAGAGCAAGGTATACCAGACAATAAATTTTTTATCTTTTGTTCTTTCACATGGTCTTTGGATTAGAATTGGTGGTGCAAGCAAGTGGTATTTCGAGCCCCACAAGTTCCCTTCCTCTGCCATGTTATTCTTTTCCTTTCGACCTCTGCCATCCTTCAAGTACCGACAGGAATATCATGGTCACAAAGTTTTATTTTGGGCACTGACGAAAATTGATGCGCGCGCGGATGTCATCCATATAATGAAGCCAGTGTGGCCTTAACTGCAGGGGTGCACCGCTAATGGTACGAAATATGTGGCTGGGCACCGGCGGCTGGCATGATGTCATGTCTCTTATATTTTACGGGCTGCCCTTCACCCCTGTTCTGTGTGAACCTCGGTGTAGGGGCAGTCCCCTCAATCTCTCCCCACGCCTGATCTTCATTTGGAATTTGGATCCAATAAAACAGTCGGCTGGTGAGCAGGGAGTCGGGTCATGGGCGGGCTATCCGGGAAAATCAAGGTCTGATGTGACACCAACTCACAGGAAATAACTCTTTTACTCAGTCCAGAATGCAAGCGAAAAAGCCATCACGTTTAGATTACATGTATGTGGCCACGATCTTGATTCATTGATGGAATTATTCGAAAACTCAAATTCTGGTGTTAGCGTGCGAAAGATAAAACAAATATTGATATTGTTATATGTTCCTCACATATGGTCCACGGAGACCCTTCGTTTCCCTTTAGTTGCTAGGATAAAGGGGTTGTTCTTTATTTGCCATAGGAAACGAAAACGGGTATTTTTTAAGTAAGAACATGTACATAACATTTACATCCATTGGCACGTTTTACGTATTACACAATGGCACCATTCTCCACAGTGCCATCAAATGCCTCCAGCCCAGCGAGCAGCGTTTCAACAATGTCTCTCGTCCTCTCCTGGTCGTTCTCCTGCTCGTCTGTCTGGTACGAAGAGAAATTTTCTGGCAGTGTCGGAAGGTCCCTCAGCTCTTCGAAGAGGTCGTGATCTGGTAGTATGGACGTACAGTCCCATTCTGTTGTTGTTCCCTCCAGGATATGGTCAGACGACCGAATGGCCCATTCTTGGCCCTGCTGGCTTGGCGTTCCAAGTCGTGGTGCATCGTTCACACAGTACTGTGCTCCAAGTTGTTCCTTTACTTTGTCCTGTGACCGCGGATCGTGAGCGCAGTAGGTCGCGTTGGGTGTCGTGCTGTGAAGCATTCGTCCTAGGAAAAAGTCATGAAGATTTAAGTGTTATAAAAAGTGATCAACCTAAGTCACAGTCTCTTATAATAAATTTGGTGCGTCACAGCTTGTATTTTGTACATGGACGCTTTGTTTCTTGTCAAACTAAGACGTCGTCGTCCTTTGATGAGAAAGAAAGGCACAGTTGAATCATTTCTTATTGTATTGGCCATGGACATGTCACGGATTCTTACCTTCTTGTTGACCAGTCACACTGGAACTGACGCGGCTTGCTACATTTGCAGGGTTTACAACTTTGACGATAGTCTTGTAGTTTTCCCTGCGAACAAACTTGCACGTCACCGGTTTCAAGTTCATGGCTTTGTCTCCGGCCCAACCGACGTACTGTACAAAAAAATAAGTCAATCAAACATTAACCAAATAGACAAGTCATCTTTGCTGCCACACGTGAGCCTTTAATCGAATTTGTCCGTACGATTCCACGATAGACGTCTTAAAAAACTATGTTTGCGACTTGAAAGAGCAGCTTTGTTAAACTGAGCAAGCTGATACTGTAACGGTTTTGAAATCCGAAGAAAACAAATATGGCCATATATAGACCGGAGAAGTTGCCCAACATGTAGTCCTAATCAGGCCTTGTTCTAATCAGGCCTAACAACGCAGTAAAATATCATTTATGCAAAATAATTTATTTTTTTCTGGACAGACTGGGCAGATTAAACCCAAAATTAAACTTACACAGTTTGATCCAATGTACCAACGTTGTTTGTTCTTGTATGGGACATATTTCTTCAGAAACGCAGTCTTCATCTCCCATATGGGGTGGTTCTCCTACAAGAACAAATGAAATCAAATATGGCAGTAGTACAATTGTTGAAAAGGTGTTGATATTGAATTTCACAATTCCTACGAAGAAAGGAGGTAAGAATCACAACAGTACCAAATTTTATACACAGACACCCACCTGGCCGATCGTTTTAACGTCCACAACGAACCTTTCCTGTGAACAAAATAAAATACTGAGGGATGAACTAAAGAAATTGAGTCTTGTGGAAGTGATTACATGTTATCCAACGACAGAAGCTACTTGTAGTTACTTTCGCGTATATATTACGATAACAGCTGAAATGGACGGTGTAACATTGTAATACATTATTTAGTACCAAGCAAACCTTCTAACTTGGGTACAGATGAGGTTTAGAAAAGATAAAGCACGACAAGTGATATAACAGTTCTAAGACTCAAAGCCAACGTTCTGTAGCAGCTTCTAGGCCACTCCAGCTCGGATCGCCATCCGTGAACGTAGTTGCATTTCCTCACCATGAAGGACGAATTCTCCCCGGCCGAGTCTTCGTTCTCGTCATCCGGAAAGACGACAGGGTCCCGGCTGAGCACCTCCGCGAAAGAAGTAACGGTGCAGTCCTTCCGGTTTTCGACAGGCGGCGTCTGAGTGGTACTTGAAAAGTGACAGGAAAAAAGATTTCTGTGATTATAAAAAATTGCATCATCTTAACAACGTTATTATGCTCTTGCAGTCCTTCCGTTTTTCGACGGGCGGGGTCTGAGTGGTACTTAAAAAGTGACAGAACAAATCGTCACTGAAAAGATCACAAATTGCATTATCTTAACAACGTTCATCATGCTCCAGATCTGTATCCTGATTTAACAGCTGGTCAGCGAGACCCTAACAACGTATGCTATGTTTTACTTTTTGAGTCTCTCAATGCATAGAGAGAAGTTGTAAACTTAGAGTGAGCAAGTTGCTACTCACGGATTGACTCTGGCGCCAGCAGTGACGGTAGTGAGGTGGTGAGGACGTCCTACTTCAGCCATGTTACTCACTTTTGTGACGTTTGGAGCCAAGGTTACTTCATCCTGCTGACCTGATATAGAAAGAAACAGAAACAGACTTACCAGTAGACTAGTGCAATCATAAAAAAAGCGTTGTTGATGTTCCAGTGAAATATTATAGGACAAAAATGTCAAACTTTCCTACAGCCTAAAACTAGGTTTGTTTTCGCATCTTACCTGCAGTATTGCAATGATTGACAGATGTCACAATCTTCACAATCTGCTTGTTCTTCTCTAGTCTGACGAATTTGGCGGTGATCGCGCGGAATTTCTTCCCACATCGTCTTAATCCCAGATACTATAAGACCACAATGTGAAATTTAAAACAAATCGTAGGAAAGAGGCAATTTTTCCCAAACAAAGTTATCTTTTATTTTAAACAAGTCTAGGTGATACGAAAGAATTCCCATACTGTATTTCGATCATACTAGAAGTGGGAGTCATTCCGTATAATAGTTTACTTCGAAGTAGAAATGGGGACTTTTAAAAGATTCTTGATTGCCAGCGTCTTTCGATTAGTAGCCGCATATTGAGGTGAAAAAACTTACGCAGTTTGAGGCGATGTACAAGTTCGGCGTGTTCTTGTACGGAACGTACTTCCTCAGTAAGCCATTGTTGACCTTCCAGATCGGACGACTCGCCTAGACCAAGACAGGTCAGACGCAGCGTTACAAACTATCAACATGTACAATAGCATGGCGTATAGCAATTACTGAATAACAGATCAAGGTTCATACTAGGAGGCCAAACTATACACAAGAATACAAAGAGATTAGAGCTACAAAAGGTAAACACTTGTACTGACATTTGTATCTTCATGTGAACTGGTTTTAACTGGACGGTACCGGTAATACCAAATAATACAGTGATTTCATCCTCAATTTTATCTGTTTCTAAAATGACTCATATCATTGATTTCCATAATTCTCATTAACATTGTCTAGTAAAATGAACAAATGACCTACTTCATCCGGGACGTTTGTTTCGACCACGAAGTCATTCTGTGGAGGTGACACAAAAATAGCAACGTTTTTGGTATTATAACCATTATGAACAAATATTGAAACAAGCACTCTTAAAAGACCATGGAGTATGGACGTGCACAAGAATAACTACAAAGTTACTATAAAGGAAGTATGTGAGCCTGCTCTCAGATTAACTTGCTGACATCTGTCTATAGATTGTACAGCTTACTACATTCTACGTGAGAATGGCAGAGACTTACCAGGAAATAAGCATTGGTGTTTCCTGAATTATCGTCACTTTCGTTGCCCGGGTCTGGGGAGATGATGGCATTCTGCCTGCACTCTTTTTCCATGACGGACGTGGACTGTGTTATTAACATATCGCCAAATGTATAAATATTGCTCATCACGGTTATGGCATCATGATAGCTACGTCCCATTGCTAGTCGGCGTTTTTGAACCATGGAATGTCGTGGCACATACTCACGTCAGAAAAAGTCATGCAGAACTGATACATGAAATATGCCTATCGCATGGGCAGCATATCAGAGACTGGAATAAACAACAGACGCCTCTATATATCCATGTCAGGGAAAGTATAATATATCGTACCCTACTCACGAGTTGAAATGTTTTAATGTCTCAGTTCCTACAACACTCACTGTTTTGAAGACAAATGGAAATCGTACATGTAGGTGTACGCCTACCTTGACACACATACGCAGTAAACCTCTGGTGCCATAAAGCAAGTTGAGTTAAAGGGCAAAAAATGAGTTAAAGGAGAAAATGAGGTAGAGGAGAATTCTTACCTGACTGTGGAAAAGCAGACCCCTGTTCAGTATTGTGTCATGAAAGACATGTATATACCCGGAACTTTGCCAACACGAACTTGTACGTACAGGATCCATGTATATTTTGTATACACCTGTACATAATGGCGGTACTTTATAACGGTGACAACAAGCAACAGATATCAAGGCCACATTTCTTTGATTTCATCGATAAAGTCGCCCGAAGACCCCCAAAATTGATGCGAACAAAAAAAGGTGAGGTTTTCTTGTTCCAGAAGACAGTGTAGCAAAAGAACCAGGTTTGTATTTCACCGTTAGATAACCAACATGTCTTACACCAGTATGAAAGGAATATTAATCTTTTTATTTATTGATAAACAGACAAAAGTTGTTGATCATTTGAGAGATCATTTGAGAGATCTCAGTCACTGGCGAAAGTTGGCGGATGTTGTCTGGAATGCGGATTATAAGTAGATTACAAGTGGTGCTAGGGGAATTAGGCTTGTATTACTTGTTCTCAACGTCAAAAGGTATCAGTCAACCAAAAAACAAGACCATGGGGTGTTCCGAACAGACAAGGGACGTTCTGCTGCAGTACTAAGAGAAGGTGCTATAGAAGGCAAACTTTATCTTGACACTTGTCTTTCTAATATCTACCCACATACAAAATATCGTCACGATGTACAAATTGTTTCTCAAGTAAAAGTATGCAGAAAGTACATGGAAATTTCATGTTGACTCAAATTTTGTAACAGAAGACACAAACATTACTGATCTGATGATGAAAGAACATCCAGTAAGCTAAGACACAAAATAACTCTGGTCACATTTATTCATTTATATACAAATAATAATTTCTTGACATATCGCATTACGTGATCTGGTCATCAATATTCCAATATTATACCACCTTACTCGTGTACCTGTGAGTGTAGATAACAATCAATTGACGGTACGAATATTTCTCATTCTTACATATAAAAATCATCCATCAGATCTTCAAAAGCTTAATTTTGCATCAGTTATCTTAGTCATCAGTGTGCATTTGCATAAATATCTCAACTAAATTATTTATCTGCAATGCTATTGATCAATGGAAATGACAAAAATATAATGTGTAGTACTTAAAAATGTCAATGACCATTTCTTTACTTCCACTATTTGATCTATTACAAACATCAAAGTGACACACGTCATTTCAATTGCAATATAGTCTCTGTGTAAGGAGTATCTATATGAGGAAACAATAAATCTTAATACAATGGTGCATTTTACAGTGACGAAATACATCTTTTCTTTCAAAAGCAACATAAAACATGGATCAAAAAGTTTCAATTACATCAAATAAAACACGGGGAAGACACACGTTTGTCAACGTTCCAAAGGTGCTCTAAAAGGGTGGCACTTTGTCTAGTGAAGACGTGTCTTTGTAAAAAAAAGCCCAAACAGTACAAAGCAGAAGCTGAGACATGGGATGTTGCAAAAACACCACAGCAAGACAGTAGCACAGCTTTCTTCATCCAGCCCCCTTGGTGACGTACATTTCGACTATCACTGTTATAAGAGACTTTTAAAAAGTCTGTAAGATTACTGTAAGGTTCAAGTTTTACTGGGCAAAAGTAACGGCTACGAGGTAGAGTATACTTCTCACAAAGCCTGATTGACTACTTGAGCTGTTTTCAACTAATTTCATTGGTTCGCTTTGCACAATTCTATGATCATTTATCTTAAGAATTGAAAGTATTTTTTTGCACTATATTTGGCCAGATTGCCAATGTCTATCAGATTGCCAATTGTATTTTCGTTTTGATTCTAACAGATAGCAATCTAGACAGAAAGAAGAAGAGCGACTCCAGCCAGAATCCACTTGGCAGGCTTCTCCTTGCTCTTGAGATTGAAGGTCCAGACGAAGGTGGGTCCCCGCATCTTGGTCTTGTAGACTGGACACTCGTAGATGTTCTTCGTGTCCTGGCGATCCACGGGGATGGCCTTGATGAACATGACCGGCATGGCTGGGGTCAGTTCCTTAAGACGGGCGTCGGTCATCATGCCTGAAGAAAGGAATGGATGGCATGATTAGATGGCTCATTTGTGCTTAATACTCACGTTTCTAATTCTATTTAACAATGTACAGGTGTTGGATGTTGAGTCAGTGTTCTGTACATAGTTGTTAACGGTTTGTTTCATTGCACAAGGAAGTGCAAAAGTTCGGGTACGAGGATAGATTAGTTGGATAATAATATGCTCATTTAGCTATAATGGTCATAATTTTGAATCACTACTTGAAAGCAAGGAGGTGATGTGCTTTGGTTAGTCATAACTCTTAACCAATGATGGTCTAGTGTATTTTGGCTACAATGTACGTTATAAAGCACACTCCTACCTTGCTTGCAAAGACACGGGCCAATACATCTGTCCTTGGTGCTGAAAACCTACCAAAAACACACACAAAGACTAACAGTACGTCTGTCTTTCTCCTTACCTGTCTGTACGTCCCAGCGTGCACCCTCCATGAACAGACCGTGTACATAAGCGCCCTCACGCGGCGGCCCGCCAAAGTCCTCCTTGCTCTTCTTGGTGACGTCAACCGTCAGGCACATCTTGTCCAACGGCCACTCATTCTTACGCGCCATGCTCTGAAAAGAAACAACGAAAACACACTCTTTAAAGGCAGAAATGATATCTAAAAACTTTTTTCTCCATTTTTTTCATCCAACAAGAATCTATGACATTCAGGTCTATTGCTGCAAAATGGACAATGATAAGGACAACATTCAAGTATGCCTTTGGATTACTATATATTTCTACAAACTGTTCTTACAGTAGATCATCTGCCCATTTGCTAGTGTCACCAGGCAATCTCAATCGATGTAAAATGAAATGGAACGTTTGGTTACCTGCATGATAGCCGTGAGGAAGGACTGTGGGTTGAAGAACCCGGAGAGCCAGACCACGGCGGGGAGGGTGAAGTCGTTCACCCAGGTGTCGAGTTCCCGGATGCGCGCCAGCAGGTCGGCGTACCACTGCGCCAGCCCGTACATGGACGGGTACGCCAGCCGGGCCCAGGAGTCGGGCACGTGGTCGAAGAACAGCGAGTTCTGCAGGGCCTCCATCTCCGGCGAGATCGTCAGCTCACCCTAAATGGAAAATATAGATTAGTTATGAAGTGTTCAACAAGTGTCCATTATAACCCAAAAACTTTATAGTCTCCGAATTCATTTGTCCCTCGTCCATGAATCTAGTCCTTGGACAAACGTATGGGGCTCAAAAGTGAGGACCTCTTTGATGTTACTTCTGGGTACGGATTAGGATGACAGCACTGGATGGAAGATTGACATGCAGAATGACAGGAGATCAGATGGTTAGACAAGGGCCAGGAGCCAGCAAAAATTCTCCACATGGGGGAATTCAAAAAGCCGAGGGTTGCACTTCCTAGTAGTCTGAAACATCCGACGTGTTGTTGTGGTGGAGAAGATTTAAGACAGTACATTTTATCATTAATGTGTCTGGACATTCACTGACCTTGAGACCAAGATCGAGGTTCTTAAGCGACCTCCGGATTTCCCTGGTGAGTTGGTTCATCCGCTCACACTCCTGCAGTGCCACCAGGACGTAGGGGGTCTTGTTCTCGGCCTTGGCGGTGATCTCCTGCATGTTGAACTCCTCAGGAAGCTTCTCCAGTATGTCATCCAGCGTGTTCTTCACCTGAATCAGACGGTTGCAGCATTTTGTCAACATATGGTAGATATTTTTGTCGATAAAAAACTTTAGGGTGAAATGGGAGCCCTTGAATTTACTTTGTATTCTTCCTTATATGCATGACTGCGCAGGAAAATGTTTTAAGCTTCTTGAATCCTTTGTATTTTACGTCTTTCACCGAAGCTGTGAATGTAAGGATTCCAACTGTGTCCAACTGAATCATTTAGGCTGCAGTGTTTCTAAAGAAAATGTGTAAGAAACAGACCTTCTCCTCAACAGTGGGTCCACTCCCGGCTCCCGAGGCGTTGTCCCTCGGCTGCAGCTCCAAGACCGTCTTGAACAGGTTGTCTGACGTGGTGGTGAGGAAGCCGATCTCAGCGTTGGGGTGCAGACCGTACAGGTACGGGCTCTCAGGCGGCAGCATGTCGTCGATGTACTGATGGTAGCCCTTGTAGTCCAGGTTGGGCGGGCAGGGGAAGCCTGGCGCAAAGGACAGCTCTCCATCCAGCTGGAAGAAGTCAATCATACATTTAGTGGTTAAGGTGCACGTGGTTAACAGGCGCATTATGGTAAAGTGAGTAGATTTGGTGCATACTGCCTTCTCTGCATAGCACCCAGTATTTAATAATGGGAGTTTAACACCATTCGACCAGCGGACTAGCCTCCTGCTGCAGTGAGTGCAGCACAAAGTTGTGTGGTATAGAAACGGAGATGGGACTGCCCTATGTCTTTAACCATCTACTGTGAGAAGGATTTTGACTGACGGATTTCTGCAAGAGCATTTATTGAGGCAAGCCAATTAGTAACTAGATTTTGTATTATAAGTTCTCTTCAAGCCAGTCGGCTCACCATGTCCGGATGCATGTACTCCTCCAGGTACGTGCTGCAGAGCCGTCTGTCCCAGTCATCAGTGATGTGGCCCCCGTACATGATCTGTCCGAACAGGTAACGCAGGTCCGTCCACGGCACCTGGGGGAAAAAACAGAATATGTTTTGCATGCAAAATATTTGTAAAAAGACTTTTACGTCTGACACAATATTTACTCAAAGTTTTTTACAATAATATTCAAATTCCCTAAGTACTTTGATACGGATCGATACAAAAAAATCTCGGCTTTGTCTATATCAGAGACAACCACGAGATTATCTATAATACTTATTTCGTACCCCATCGATTCTACAATAATCTACACTAAGGCATACCTTTGCATTCGCCTCAAGGTAGTTATACAGCACATTGACAGAGATGGTGAGATCCCCGTTGTTGAAAGGATAGGGTCGGTTCCATCCTTGGGGTCCAAACTTGCGCCTCTCTCCAACCACAGCGTGGAAGTAGCACAGACCAAAGAGAATGCTCTTGAACTCCAGCTCCCGGGCACACATCTCCATCGTGTCCTATTAGAAAGGTGTATATTAACCGTTAGCACTCAGTAAATGAATAAATGACTAGACGAACACCATTAACACTATTGCTGTTTCCTCGGTCGGAAGTATTGTTTGGGGTGGCACTGATCTAAGGGGAGTTTGAATGTATGTATCTTATCCTGGGCTGGAATAGGTGAGTGTATGTTTCATTTGTTTGACAGGGTCGTGCCTCATCATTTCCTGGGTGCACATGATAGGATGTGGTATGGGGTCGACAGGAACGTGTCCTGTGTAAAATTATTGTGGTATGTAACAGTGACATTTCCGAAATGTTCACAAAAACCCAGGGCACTTTTGGAAAGTCTGATATCTTCTCGTTACCTGGTTGAAGTTGTCCAGCGCCTTGTGCAGATTGGCGAATATGCCGGTCGGCGGCTCGTTGGTGATCTTGATGGCGTTCTCCAGGATGCCCTGCGGGATGATGTGCTCCTGGGGGTCGCTCGCCGCCTCGGCCGAGATGAAGACGCGATAGTTCTCGTGACCCTCCGCGCTGTTCTCGTCCATCTTCTTCTCCAGCGTGCTCAGCCACCTGGCTACAAGATGGATGTTCTGTCGACGGAAAATGAGAAGTTTGCAATAGCCCAATCATTTGCGACCATTAACAACGCTCAATCTTATTTGAGACTATATACAGATTTACAGACGTGGAATACAATTTTCATCCGTTAATTGTCGTTACTTCTCAGGAAGACAAAATGTAGACTGAATCATCATGTATCCAATGTTTAGTGTAGAGGAAAACTACCTGTCAAATTTTAAAGTTGTTCCATTGTATTAACAGTATTGTCTCGTTACTCAGTCAGTTTCTAGCCAGTAAAAATTACCTGTAGGATCACCCAATGCCCATCCTTCGCTGCCAGATCCAGTGCATTCTCGGCCACCACCTCCTGGCCCTGGCCCAGCGACACGTTGTGGAAGTTCCCGTTGTCGAACGTGAAGCCCAGCTTGTTTCCCAGGGCCTCCACGTCCTTCAGGGGGTCGACTCCCGGAGACAGGATGAAGAACACGGGCGTGGCCGGACCGGTCTCTTCAAAGGACTTGGCGAACTCCACCTGTCGGCTGGTGACATACTTGCTTCCGAGCTTTTCCTCCACAAAGTTCCTGATATGACATGGATGGAGTAAGATACAGAAGGTAAATGACAATAACATACATCTATCATTAAATGATCACATTAAGTATTTTATATCTCAGGCGTCGGATGGCCGACTAGCTTTAACACAAATGGTCATAAAATCGAGAGGTCACAGGTTTGATTCCTTGCATTCTTGTCTGTACGTTGTGTCCTTCAGAAAGGCACTTTCCTCACTCCACCCAGATGTAAAATGGGTGCCTAAAAATTTTGTTGGAGAGGTAAAAGACAGTGGAAGGAGAGAGATGGGCTCCACCTTCCAATCGTGCCCTAGACAAAGTAACAACCCACTGCCCCTTCAGCCTCAAAAAGCTTATGGGGCTACCCGGCTATCTTTACCTTTAATTTAAAAGTGTTTAATGACTAGAGAGAAGGCAGTTTCCTGTATAAACATGAGCCCTTACGTCACGGCATAGGTCATCCTGTCCGGTCGCAGTGCCCTCATCATGCACAGCTTCTGGAGGGAGGTTTTGTTTTTCCACTCTTGCGGGAACTTTTCCTTCTCGGGACACTCGCTTTCCACAAACTTCTTCCACCGTTTGGCAGATCCCTCAATGTCACGGTCAAGGTTGTGGAACTCCTCCATAGCTGCCAAAGCCTGGTAAAAAGAAATAATCAGGTTATTTTGTGGCAGTACACTTACAGTCATGTTCAACCCAGTGAAGGACAGGTGAGGTCGAGTTAACTGGCAAATTTGATTATACAGGTGTCTTGCAGCATATAAATTCACAACAAAGAATGATGCCAAGTATACTATTCAATTGTCTCTGATTATTTGCTTTGCTTTTTACGTCACCACGCACATTTGTGATTTATTGAAAAAGACGGAGCTAACGTTACTAAGAAAGAAAATATGAAACAAGCCTTACCTTGATACCTCCCCAGGCAGTATCTGTTAGGAAGTCTACTGGGCTCTTTGCGTTAACCTGGATCGGGAAGCGGAGCAGGAAGTCCAACTCTACCATGTTGATCTCCTTCTTCATCAGAAGGATCTGAAGAGAGAAAAAAGATTAGAAGAGATCTGAATAGACAAACTCGCATAACTGTGATTCAACAAATTGCCCTGCATTACATTGCATTCGTATTGTATATATAATTATAATGCTCCCGTACAAAATTTCTGTAAATTCTCTCCCCATACGAACCTGGAAGGCCACTTGAGACAAGAAGGTGAGCTTGTCCCGCTCAAACAGGCCACGAGTTGTGTACATGAAGACAGAGAAGGAGATGGAGTCGATCAGGTTGGCCACTCGTTCCTTCACCTCCTCTGCCTGGCCTGCACGCTCAATAGCTTTGGTGAAGACCACATTGAATGCCTGTGAAAGAAGGAGAAACCTTTTGAAAACTTTCCTTTGTATGTATAGACAGGAGGCCTTTCATTTGTTGTCACTTATATGTCGTTGTAAATGCGTTTACAGGCAAATGTGCATGTTCCTAGGCAATTATGTGATGTTTTTCAGGCACTCTGTTCTTACCTTGAGAGAGAACTGGTAGATGGGGTTGATCATGTTCAGGTCATTCAGGATGAAGTAGAGGAGCGAGGCACGGGCAGCTGCGGGACGGTACAGTTCACGGGCTTCGTTGATTTTGGCCTCTGTTGTCTTGGCTTCTTCAACCTGCAAAATTAGAGATTTTTTTCAAACAAATGCTACAAACAGCAGCAGCATGTCGGAAACAGAAGGAATGGAAGTTCTTTATGCTGAGTGATCCAACTGCCGTCTTGTCAAAAGACAAACTACTAGTATGTATGAAATGGTCTTTGTTCACTCTTGTCTCTGGCAGGGGCAGTGAACAATCCCTCGCTATGTACCTTCACTTCAATCTCAGCAGCGGTACGCTTAGTGGTCTCCAGATTCTCCACCAGTGCTGTATCCCCCAGGAAGTTGCCCTGAGCCGCGGACAGGCGAGACAGCAGAGAATCCTCCAGCTCCTTCAGGGTGATCTTGAAGTCGTTCTGCTGCTTGGTCAGGTCAGACTGAAATCAAAACAAAATGCCTCAGCTTATAAAATGTATCGGCTTAAAGTCTGTGTATTGTTCTGTTCATAAAGATGTAATATAGTTTTTCAACTGCAAGAAATACGTACATATGTATGTGTTGAACTGTCAAATTGAACTGAAATTCACGGCCACCATTGTCATTAAAGCAGCAGTACTCGTGTTGTAGACAAGTAAATATTTGAATTAACAAGACCCAGTCACATTTTTCCTATCAAAAACTGAGATTGGGGCAGTAAATACTACACATCTTAAACTGTTACAATGTAAAAGATGGCACGTACCTTTAATTTCTCCAGATCAGGCCTTTCTTTGCTGACGACATCCGCCAGCAGTTGGTCCTCCAGGCCGTCCCTGGTGACGGTGAAGTTGATGAGGGTGGTCTGGGCCTGCATCTCCGGCTTGTAGTGCGGGTTGGCCAGCTTGGTGTGTAGGATCAGCCGGAACTTCGGATGGTACTCGCACTCCTTGTCTCCAATTTTGATGAATCTACATTTAAATGAGTAAATATTGTTACTTTATGCAGTCACTGTGGTATCCAAATATAAACCTAACTCTGTAGACAACAACAACTGTCTATCACATTGTGAATATCCAACAAACTTTTCAATGAGAGTACTGGAGACCATAGTAATTTGTAGACAGATACATTGGGAGCTGTACCAGTCCTAAGAGGCATCGTTATAAGTTTCCTTACCTCCCCTTCTTGATCGTGTTCCTGCCGAGAAGCGGGTCAAGTACTGGGTCCACGGACTCTTCAATGTTCTCAAAGAGGATGGTCTCTCCCGTAGATAGGGCACGCTCGATAGTGTCAAGGTACCTGAAATATACCATATTTAAAAACATCTGTTTACACATCTTGAGTGGTCAATACAAGTAGGTTAAGGATAAAACTTGTTCCCTGGCTCAAATTCCATGTTTTGAAGATAAAACCATAAAAACATGACGTTCGACGTACCCCTTTTGTCCAATCTTGACTATGACGAGGTCATCTCCAACTCTTGTCTTGATCCACTTGATGCCCTGCAGCTGAGGGTCGATCATGAGAGGCCAGCGCTCACAGTTCAGCAGGATGGTGGCGTTCTCCGTGGACATGCGGTCGCTAGGCAACCCCTCGTTGTTCCATGCCGCGATGTCAGCGTCGTCTGTCAGCAGAGACAAGGGATCCAGGCCCTCTGTGATGGGGATGGGAACCTGTTGGGAGATTCGCAAAAGAAGGTTTAGCACCTTTTTCATTAGTCATCTATTGCCGCTCATAATTTGAATGCGTTTGTTTTGTCCTCTATGCACGTCATTCTCAATATCAATCTCAACTGTATTGAGGAATAACGTTATACGTCATTTCTCAATACGGTTACACTACTATATATTACATCATTTCTTATTGCGGTTTTACTACTAGATTATACTATCATAATGTTACCTTTAGTTGTTTGATGAAAGGTGTCCAGAAGTTCTCGATTAGGTCCTGTCGGTATCGCTTGGAGAAGCAGCCGACGTAAGACACGAAGGCGGCAATCAGCAGCACATCTCCACAGAGGGTACTCGCTTGGATCTATGGCAACACAATATGTCAATGTCAGCGGTAGATATATTAAGGGGATTCCTTTGGCATGCTGTATGAAAAATCTGTGGAATCATTTACTGCATCAACACACACAGGCTACTGAAATCAAATATCAAACTGCTTAAAAGAAAAAAACGAGATAGTGATTTAAAAATCCATAGCTTATTAGCCTCATCAAATTAGCCACTGACATCAGACACTAATCTTATCAATCATGGAGATACCTTGAAGTTGTTGACAGACTCTGCCCAGCGGACGTTTTCGGAGGCCAGTCCTCCCACCAGCCGGTTGGCCAGGGAGATGGTGTACGCCGTGCGGTCGGCCTCCTGCTGGCACTTCAGCTTCTCTTCCGTGGCTTTCTCGAATTTTGCAGTCAGATCTGCCAGAGTTGCTTCAAGGTCCTGAATTGGTATGAATACGGAATAGAATCCATCTATGATATGTGATACACAACAATGTGGAGACAATAATAAATTGCCCAGTAGTGGCAGCAATTAGGGCCAGAACTGCTAATCCGCAAGTACAGGTCATCCAGATAACAGTTTCATTGGTTCATTTTCTGGATTTTTCATGACGAACATATCATGCATGATAATAAGTATCCCACAAATATATCTGTGCAGATAACCATCTGTATGACGAGATAAAATGAGATTTACCGCGATCTTGCTCTTGATTTTGTTCAACTTTTCCGTGGCAGCTCTTAGCTCTTCGTTTGCCTCATTCAGAGCAATCCTCTTGGGCTCGACCTCACAGAACACCTCGTAGTACTTGACGATGTTGATGACCCAGGCACACAGACCGGCGGCGGCGATGGACTTGGTGCGGATGTTGTCGGGGTTGAACTCCTTGTCCTGGAGATATGGCTGCAGTGCCTTCAGGTTAGGATCGGGGATGTTCTCCTTGTCGAAGTTCAGCAGATTCTCCAGAAACGTGTCCACCTGGAAGCAAAAAAGAACACACATTAAAACAGAGATTTTAGGAAACTAGCATCCTTGATGTAGTAATAAGGTACAGCGCGGACACGTTCGTCCTAGGTCGTCGTATGATTTTGATGCCATAGAATGTTAAGCAGGCTGTGAGAGAACCAACTGGATTTTGCAGGACTACCACACGAAGCCCTGCAGCTTGCGCTTGCCATGCATACATGCATGTTGGATGTGACCAGGCCCTTAACAAACACCAGAGAAGATTATTTTGAGATTGCCGGTAAGAATTTGGACATATTTTACCTTGCCCATAAGCTGAGACTTGGCATTCTTCCAGCTCCTGTCCTTCGGTACCTTCCCGCCAGGTGCCATCAGCACCATTACTGCAGCGGTGACGTTGATCACAGCAGCAGGCGGGGAGCCAAACGCCTTCATTTCTGTCAAGTTGCCCTGAAACAGGAATACCATAGGTAAGTTTGGTCACATTACATGATAGAGATTTCAGGCTTCCAGGAAGTATTGGAGGATCCATCATCCCCATTGACGTCAATAATGACCTCTAGCTCCCGGCCTGAGCAATGTCCTGTGTTTGTGATCATATGCCTGTCAATCTTCCCCCACCTTCGCTACCCGGACAAACAGACACTTAAACCTAAGCTCAGCCACCCACACAATACTTCCATACAAGGAAGTAAAAATCGCTTTACAACTTTAGACATCCATGCATGCTCATGCATCAAGTCAAAACATCATACCTTATTCAGCGTGTCCAACGCCTCCTTTGCAGCTAGCAGCGCAGGCTCCGCACGGGCCAGGTCCTCCTCACAGGACTTCTGCTTGACAGACACCTTCTGTTTGATGACAGACACCTTCTCCTCTTCTTCATCAGCGATGGCCTTCTCCTTACTGACCCGTTCTGTCTCTGCCCCTACCTTGGCGATCAACTTCTCAGCCTCTTCGTTCTTCGCTTTCAGTTCCACTTCTTGTGAGGCCAGCTTTGCTTTCAAGTCGTCCACCTTTAGAATTGGAATAGATATATAGTGATGAGCCCCTGTTGTGTAAACGTACCAAATTGTGTAGTTTTGTACCAATGGTCCGATCTATTTCAATATATAACTAGTTATGATAGATTTTAGAAAATTCTATTTTAGGGTTAACCAAAGGTACAACTTTAAGGTATAGTGAACTAAATTTGTTGGTTTTACATTAAAGTCTTCAGCTTACTACTTATACTGATTATCACTCTACGACATATTTGCATACTGAAGCTATCCAACTGTGATACCTGTGACGCCGTGCTTTGCAGTTTCAACAGTCCGTTCTCCAACCGCTGCATCTTGGCCGTCAGCTCGTCACTCTTCTTCTTCAGGAGATTCCTGTAGAGAGCGATCTGCTCCAGGAAGCTCTTGGGAGTGGTGTAGTTGTACCGGCGCTCGTTGGCGATGTACGCCTTGCTCATCTCGTTCACACTGGTGTGCGCGTAGGACATGAACAGGCTGATGGAGTTCTTCACGTCAGGCTGGGGTGGGTAGAGGACAGAAGTGATCATTACAGTGGCTGACCCACTAAAGATAAATTAACGTCTTACAATCCTAAATAAATTGAGATACCATGAAATTTATTCCCACTGAATTTATGGTAAAAGTTGCAAGTAAAATTTATAGCAATCTAATGTCAATCAACTGAGAGAAGAAATGATTAACATTACACCCACAATTTCAAAGCAGCGGAAGATCTCAGTGGACAATGTGACAGGAAAGCTAGGCAAAGGTAGGCTAAACAAGAATGGGGATTACCCCTTAAGGTGAGTTACTGATTGACAAGTGATTTATCACAACTATTACGGACAATGATCTTAATCCTTGATCGTCCAGGCTATTCCACAGCAGTCTGAAACACACTATTGAACACAAACACCCCGTTACCTCTATCCCGTCCACCTCCTCTATGAACCTCCTGCTGACGGACTCCAGCGCCTCCTGCGGCCAGTCCTGGAACCAGTCGATGGACGTGCAGTTCACCACGGCCGGGAAACGGCGTCCACGCACGCGCAGGGTACGTCCGACGGGCGAAAAGCACAGGACGACCTAAAGGGATAAGATGTCGTGAGAGTTATTGCATATTTTCGTTTGCTTGGTAAATGGAAGAATACATTTTTGTCTTTGTATATATTTGTATTCTTTGTATACAATTGGTGTTACTTTTTCATCAGTATGCCATAACAGTTACTGTAGCCTTACCTTGAGTTGGCGCCGAACCCTGTCGATGAAGAAACTCCAGCAGTTCTCTCTTGTGTCCTGCAGACCTAGTCCCTTCACCTCCATCCGCAGCCCACTGATGATGTTTTCGATCTAAAGGAAAGACACGTCAAACCAATGTCACTCATTAAATCATACCAAAAAAAAAACGATCCTTTTTGAAAGGATGCATACCAGTCAATGCTGCTACTGGCAATTGGTCGGAAGGCAGAATCCTGGTAGCGCTATAGCCAAACCATAGTTCTCCAGCAAGACCTCTCTTTACTCATCGTATAAGACCTAAAAATGAGCATACAAAAGAGATTACACTATCACAGTTTGCACCACTTGATGCTTAATGTTTATGTTTACCCAAGCTCACCTCGTCATCAGGGAAGAGGTCGGGTATTTCTCCAGAGGCCAGGAGATCATTGACCAACACCAAGAACTTCTCATCTGCGACCTGCGCGTCGGTCATCAGGAACACCATACCGATGTTCTTCATCCCTGCCTTGATGTACAGATTGGCCAGGTCCATCTGTGGAGGGGGTAAAAGGATGCATGAAGGATTTGATAATTTAAAGCATTTTTTTATGTTCATTGATATCAAAGGAGCAAACACACGTCATACAAGGCAAACTCTCCAGAGGAAATGAAGTGGTTTGAAATTTACTTTCTGTCATTTAGAATGAAGCTGATGATCTTAAAGCTGAAAATTCAGCTTACTGCTAAAAGATTCCCTAAAACAGCTTGATTTAGTATCAATTCTTAATGTTTCAATTCTCAACATAACCATGAAAATCCTGACCTTAAGATCCGGAATGCTGTAGCCCTTCCTGAGTGTGATCTGGAACACGTCCAGCGCGCTGATGTGGGCGGCCAGGCGGGACAGACTCTGCTTCCCGCTGCCTCCCACACCCACCAGCAGCGCGTTACCCCGGGGAGACTCCAGGATACGGTTGATACGGCACCTACGGTAAACAGTTACAATGTGAGATTAGATTTCGAAACCGTATGGTAAGTAATCATTTAATTCTGGGTGAGACATGTCAGTCTGTCCTATTTGCTTTGGGGGCATGGTGGGCAGGACATTGTTTTGATGGTTGATTGATAGGGAGTTTTAATACGAATTGTGTAATAACACCATACAATCTTCCCATAGTTCACCAAACACTTCCAGGAGATCTGTGAACTTGAAGGTCACCAAAAATAAAAAATACTAATGTTGAAAGTACGAAATCTCCAATTTCTAGTAGATTATAGTAACTATGTATTTCAGATACAGCAGTAACATTTTTAGATTTTCACGACTGTCAGTGCAACTTACACATGCTGCATGGCATCCTCAAACAGAACCAGGTTCATGGCTGCGTTCAGCTCGTTGTAGGTGTCCAAGGCCTCGACCAGCAGCTTGTTGAGCTCAGCCCACCCAGAGACAGGCATGTACTTGGGATCACCGATCCCTTGGGAAAAGTGGGTGTACATGTTGGGCTTTTCCATGATCTCGCTCTCTTCCATATCCTGGTAGTGTGGTCAAGGAAAAATGACAAGTGAGTATCACCCTTTGTTAATGTGATATGAAATCAAATGTATTGTGTAACAGCTAATAATGTTTATTTATAACGGTCTGGAGCAATAAACTACCATATACAATGGGAATTTTGCAATATTAGTTTTCGCATACCTTGCATAGAATATAAGCTATGTTTTCACGGGGAACGTTCAACCTAATTGAATCATGGCACTAGCAGTATATCGATGCTGTTTTATTATAAGGTTAAACAAAAACTCATTTACGATACTAATCAACAATGGGTGTACGTTGTCCGTTGCTTACCTCGAAGTACTTGCGCACGTTGTCCAGCACGACTTTGTTGAACATCTCCATGTCCTTCTCGTCCACCAGTTTGTCCCCGTACACGCGGTTTGCCTCGTGCAGCCACAGACGGATGAAGTCCAGAGGAGTCTTCATGCACTCCGGTCCGGCAAACAGGATACCCTACAAGATCAGCAGAACATGCTATAATGATAAACTGGCATGTTTAATTAAACATATTCATGAAGCACGTTCATTTCTTAATGATTTTGTCTCTTTTCCAGGGAAGCTACGACCACAACATGCGCAATCTTGCTTTGAAACTGTGTTTTCTCATCACCCACGCCAGACTTACATACAGATCTATATTATGATTTTCAGGTCATTTATCCAAAGGAACACAATCACCTTCAAAGTTTGTTTGTTTGTTTGTTTGTTTGTTTGTTTGTTTGATTAGGATATCATATCCATGTGAAATTCAACCAGTTAATTCACAGGGCATCTGCATATAGAAGACCTAGTACCTGGAAGATGTTGGACAGGTCCCTGAGGTTGAAGATGTAGTGGAACTTGATGGCAGTGGGCAGGAATGTGGAGGTTATCTTCTGGTGCAGACCGATGGCTGCCTCCACGATGTGTGCGGCAGCCTTCACCACGTTATTGCTGAAGTTAGCGCCCTGGAGATGCCCGTTGATGATGCTCTTGTATATAGTAGTCAGGGCGTCCGCACCCGGGAAGCTAACCGCAAACACTGCAAAGTGCCGCTGATGTGTAAAGAAAACAACAGGATATGTCATTGATATGCCAAGATGATAGATAAGAAATACAGTATATCGACACTGAGCCTATCTTGAGGCAGTATGTTGCTACATTGTGTAGTCAATACAAGTAATAGCGATGCTGTAAATGCTTTTTTTTTTCGAAATTAAGACGACAAATTCTCTATTTCCGAGACTACCATCCAGTGCTGACCTGCAGTCTTGGGTTGATGGTGAAGCTCCCGGCAGTTGGGTTCATGCAGGCCACATACTGGCAGTTAAGGATGTCCTTGAGCGTGAGCTTGGCCCTGTCGTACCAGTGGTTGTAGTCCATGTGTTGCCGGATGAGTGTGTGCGGCTGGACCGTGCCGTACGTGTCCACCTCGGGCATGTTCATGTCGTCCAGGAAGTAGATGAGTTTCTTCCCGCCCGGAGGACCGTAGTTACGGCCAGCCTTCTTCTCCAGTGGCTTCTCCATGATTGCTGTTGTATGGGTTCAATGCATAAAAGTTTCACATGTCAACATGTCAAGAAGAAATTCCGTATTTTGGGTTTTCCAGACCTTTAAGTTCACATAAAGTGTTTTGGGAACTGACACTGTGGCATGGATTCTGTGATTGATATTACATCACGTCCTGAAGGCAAAAGCTGGGTGACCTCCCTATCAATTGCCAAAATCACCACCCACCCACCATGCAATCAAGACAGACACATCCATGGGCTCAGCCATCTAAAACAATAGGCAACACGCCAAAGACCTTACGTATACATTACGCACTTTTTAGCAAACCCTTTGTCTATACATGTACCACACTTCGTGCACTACGTTTATCGTGTCAAAGTAGAAGAAGCACCTACCTTGCAGCATAGCAGAGGTTGTGTAGTAGTTGAAGGGGATCTTCGTGACCATGTAGTCCTCGGAGAGACTACTGAACTTGTCCCCGGCCAGTACCGTCTTACCAGTTCCGGCGTTACCGACCAACATGACTGGTCTTCCCTTGGCCATCAACATGTCGACAAAGTACTTGATGCGGGTTGTCTCTGCAGTGTGTACAAGCACAGCCTGGGAGGAAGGATTGAAAATGTGTTCTTGTTTTTTTCTTAATAGTAAACAAGACAATAATCCTATGGGGGTTTGCAAGGTATGTGTGATTACTAATTATTAAAAAAACTCATTGCTACTGTCAATTCATAAATGTAAGTAATATAGTAATACGTTATAAGTACATTCAACCACCTGTCGATCATAATACGAACTAATCAGAGTATTTGGAAAACAAGTACAAATCGCTGCCCATACCTGCAGTGGCTTGTCTGGGTCCATATCAAACTTAGGCACCTTCTCCGTCCAGGGCAGGAACTTCTTAGACTCCGGGTCGATGAAGTAGTCGAAAATGGTGCCGTGAGACGGGAACTTGATCGTCTTGAACTCCGTGACCCACCACTTACTGAACTCCACACGGTAATCAATCAGCTGCAGAAGAGTAATTTCAAAGCATGATTTATTCTGTATTTGAAGTTCCATTCTCAATTATGCTGTACAATCCAACTACACAGCATCCCTATATGATATCTGGAAAATAAAAAAGCAGTGTCTATGCGTAGATAAGATGGGATAATTCCGCTGTTTCATTACGATTACTAGTGTTTGGAATCGTCTTTGCAGAATGGTCATCGTTTGACGACATTTGAACATAGCATACTAGTGATTTGTAGACCTACCTGATCCTGGAACATGGAGCCACCGAAAGCCCAGGCAGCCGCGAACACAAAGTACAACTCGTACAGCTCTTTGGGACAATCTGGCGGAGTGTTCTGAGGAGTCAGCAGTACTTCTAGCAAGTAGCACAGCATCTGTGTGGTAGCAAAAGATTTGTTGTACTCTTACTTAAAAATGCTAGAAATTCCACCAATAATCATGTGTAAACATTTTACGTCCTTCAATACATTTGAAAATTAATACAAACATGAAAACAGAAATGGTTATTCACGTAGTGACCAACTGATTGGTTCACCACGATTCATGAATTTGTTCTTACCTGCACCATGCTGGTTTCTGGAATAGGTGTGATTTTCTTGAAGCGGCCACTGCGCATCCCGTCCAGGATGGGCGGCATGTACTTGTCGAAGAGGATGGTGAGGTTCGCCTTCTGGGACTGTTCCTTCAGGGTGTCGATCCAGCTCGTCACAATTCTGCAAATTTTAAATATGTTTTCTTACATTTGGGGCTAAACACATCTAAATCCTTATGAACAGATCATATTCCTCATGATGATATGCCTTTTGTTACGATTTGGTGTATGGACTTCCTAGAAATGAGCCTGTTAATCTTTAACTCATAGTTTAACAACTGTAACTAAATGTACCGTTCCTGTCCATGGTGCTGAAAATGCTGTGGTTTACATATGCCTTCCATTACCAGGGATTTCAATCCATATATTCTATTCACCCGTAATTGGCATAGATAATTTATTTCTTTAAGCAGTACTCCCTCCTTCCATACTCATAGACAATTCAAACGGACTTTCTTAGTTACTGCTGTATAAACCATGGAGATTACGTCCGGACGTTTCAAGTGACACCCATCACTCTTGAGCGTCACTAAAATGAACTAATATAGCTAGTCAATACCCATATATGAGGAACCGGGAAAACAATTGAGTCTCATTGATATGTAAATTAAGTTGAGATATTTGCAGCCCTCCATCCACATTTCATAAAGCTGTACAGTGTTGCGACTGAGACTATAAGACCAGACGGTACTTACGGATGCCAGCCCAGGTCCTGCGGGTTGACGTACAGGATGCCTGCCCGTGAGACGGTGGCGGGGGTCGCCGTGCGGAGGTGACTGATCTCAAACAGCAGCCGCATGGACGGGTTCAGCGGGACGCGCTCGTTACTGGCCAACGTCAACACCTACATGGGACGGTCAGTACATCATGATCATTTGAAAAATTTCCATTTCTTTTTAGAGGAAGGTATTCAAAGTACGTCACCATTCTGTATCGCAATGGGAAGGGAAACAATTTTATGATCAGTGTTACTGTAGGTGACATCTTCGTTTACAGTATTCATATTTCTGCAGATAGCCTTAGTCTATACATTGCTGTATGACTTTTGATCACTTTGTATTTCTCCATACAAAAAGCTATATAACTTGAAGAAGTGTTAGCCATAATGTATCCCGATAGTTCTGTCGAATGCAGCGTGTATGCTATACATGTAAGGGGTACTATCACGCACGATAGGCTTACATCATCTGAAATGCAGTTATGTAATGACGAAAACAACTTATCCCATACGAACCTTATTGTCGTCCATAACAGTATTGAGGGATTCTATCCACATGGGGTCGATATCTCCGTCCAACACGATCCACTTGTTCCCGTCATGAGTGATGTTAGCCTGGTCTCGCATGATGGTGGAGAAAAGACCTGACAACAAAACATCAAAATAGCTTTTAGTACTTTATCCAATGTTCTCACCAATAAGGTAACCTTTAAGTTACTAGCAGAAAAGTTTTTTTTGATGTTTCTGTATCTGTTTTCTTTTACATCAAATATGGAATCATTCAATGCATCAAATCATTTCCCTAGAACAAATTCAATATTTCCCTTAAAAAGCATACCACATACATAACTGTCACCGGCCCCTATTATTGGAATGTTTTATGTTTTCACATCGAGCTGTATAAAAGCATACAAATGTGACGGAATATGAAGACAGGGGGGTGTCTGTTACCGTCTTTCCATTCACGAGTGGCAGGGTTGATGTAACCAAACAACTCGTCAGTGGTGACTGCTTTGGGGTTCAAGTCATTCCACACAGGCTTCCGCTTCAGGTTGGCATAGGTCCTGTGGAGTGTCTTCATTACCTGCAACAGAATCACACGATAACAAGATAAATAATGATAAAACTTTAATTAACAGAAATATCACTACAAAAATATATCATATTGTAACATGAATCATAGGGAGCTTTTACCTTAGATTTTCCGGTACCGGCATTGCCAATGACGAAAACGGAGTGACGAACATCAAGAAGCTCCTCCAGTTGTACCACCTTCAAGGAAAGATAGAACTTATATACGACTGATTCATGACAAAAACACCGACACAAACATTGGATAATACCAATAGTAAAAGAATTCTGAATGCAAGCTACGTAGAACTTTGGCAATCCTTACCTAATGTGACATCTATTATTATTTTAATTACTTCATAACGATCCTGACCTTCATGATGAAGCTCTCCTCAGGTTGAAGCTTGAGCTCGAGCGTGGTTTTCCGCACTGCGGCCTCCAGGTCCATATCACGTTTCCTCGGCACATCAAGGGCCGGGAACAGATCACCTGGACAAAAGGCAAACAATTACTTTCCTCATTGATGTCACGTGAAGGCAATGAACTTGGCGATATTTTTTATTACAGCATAAAAACAGTTACCCATGCCCCGTAACGTACACACTAAAACACTCACGCGTTTTTGTTCAACAGATTAGTGGTGATAGAATTAAATGCATTTTGTCCTTTTACCTATCAGTCCCATGAAGATGGGCAGGTCATCTGTGACGATCTTGGGGATGTTGAAGTCGCGGAGGGCCCGCATCAGCACCTGGTCCTCCGGCCTCTGACGGTCTGATCTCCGCAGCGCTCCCGCCACTACCAACACGGACTTGATCGCCCTCAAACCCCAGTCGTAGTGGTCCTAAGGAAATCCAGATTTCGAGCATGAATACTCATAGTCCAGGTTTATCTGTAAATCTATGGGCAATGTAATTTTTTGGTACGAAATAGGTCTTAGATTTATCAAAATCAGTGTCATATTCGAGGGTCACCTTGAAATACTCGTTCCTGTTTTAACTTTATACCAGGTACCCATTAACACAAAATCATGCTATTTTGTAAAATTATATTATGTATTTACAACCTTTTAGTCTTTACCTAAGAACAAAGTGACACAATACCTGCTTGGACAGCAGTTCCCGACACAGAGTGTAGAGCGTGATGAACTTCCTGGCCAGCAGTTTGGCCTCCGTGAAGCCTGCAGCCAGCAGCATGTTCTCACAGATCATGCCGAAGTCGGGCACAACCATGGCGCACGGTCTGGGGAAGGAGCAAGAAAAGATTATGAGATGGTCAAAGGCAAAGCGAAGACGCTTGTTGACATGCCGCATTTATCTTCTACTCTTTCTTCAAGTTTTTCAAGAATACAACATTCCAAGATCGATCCTATAATCCTGTAGTCCGTCAAAATGTAGAAACACAAAATGAAAACATGCAACTTTTTGACAGACATGCAGCCATAGGTTGAACCACCAATTACCACGCTATGATCGGTTGGACTGCTAATCGTAATCCAAGTGGATTTTGCATGCTGTATAGGATGTCGCCACTTAGCAGAATAGGTTTTTGGACACTAAAATAAACACAGGCCCGAACATGGTTCTTGCTTCATGAGATCGAACTCGCCGTACCTGAACAAAGACTTGAGGTTTTCCGGCAGCTCCGTCCTGCCGGCGTAGCCCGGGTTCATGGTGATGAACAGGCCCACAGTCGGCGTCATCACGATGTCCTCCCCCTCGAACATGAAGCGGGACTTCTTGTTGCGGATGGCGTCCTGGATGGACTTCACCTGCACAGCCACCACCGACAGGACCTCCACGGAGATGCGGTTGAACTCGTCAAAGCAGCCCCATGCTCCGGTCTGCGCAAGACCCTTGTAGATGTTCCCAATGGACTGAAAGCAAAAAAAAATCACATAGTTATTGCTTTACAATTTCCATTACTTCATAAAAAGCTTTTCCTTGTTACAAGCAATAGACTGTTTTGATAAGATTTGAATCCCACTTCTTTTCCATTTTTCCCCCAATCTTACCTTAAGTATCTGTAAAGAGTGCTACCGAAACACTGGCAGATCTTACTATCTTTTTGACTATACATGTACTAAAGATCAAAAGAAAAAGTTGTATGCAACTACATTGATATACATTTACCTTGTAGTCCATCTGTTCGGAGCAGTTGAAGACGTACACCATGATGCCCAGAGCTCGCCCCAGGTCCTTGGTGGTCTCTGTTTTCCCTGTCCCGGCAGGTCCGGCAGGGGCACCGCTCATGGTCAGATGAAGGGACTGCGTCAAGGTGATGTAGCACCTGAACGATATCATTAGTAGGAGTCACTAAGTGCACATAACTAGTTCATTCAGATCACCATGTCTCTTTCACATGGTGCACATACTATAGCTTAGACTATCTAAACTCAAGATGGGCAGAATATCATTACCGGTATTCCCTTAAATATGGAATGAGAAATATACAAAAACATCAAATCTGAATATGACGTCTCTATTGGTATAGATACTTTTTTAACAATCAGTGTTTTCGAAAAACCTAACAAGTTTACAACTGCAGCTTTAATGGGGTGCAACTAGAAGACTATCCTGAGTAGAAGGGCAGTGATAATGCGCTCGACGCAGCATGCTGTACCTGTCCGTCAGTGGTGTGATGACAAGTCGCGCCGTGTTCCCCAGGTATTCGTAGGCATACTTGAACTGGGCGTCACAGATGTTGGCGAAACAGTCTTTCTGTTGCTCGTCCCAACGGTGCCGCAGCTGGCTCAACCACAGGAAGGCCTGAGCATTCTCAGTCTGCAATATTCGTTGGAAGAAGGGGTTTATAAATTAAAAGGCGTGCCCATTGTGTATATGGAACTAGATCTACCGCACAACAATGACTAACGTTTTGATGCGGATGTTAGCATTTTATTATAAAATACATTGAGAATTAATCTAGTTTTTTTTAGATTGATAAATCATTGACTATGGACAGCAGACACAACTCCTATTTCAGGAACAATCGCATCATGCTTTGGTAGATTCGATTAACGTCCTACATTGGTGAACACTTGGGAAAAACTTAACTGATGTTGACGTGTTTGTAAACGATCATAGTTTTTCATTATCCTACCTTGTTTGTGATCATCTTCCCCACTACGTCCCTGTTGTGTACATCGATGGTACAGATTGTAACCAGTTTCTGTCGATCACCTGAGCTGAGGTCTCCCAGCAACATCAGGATCATCGTGTTCAGCTGTTGAATCTGTAAAAAGAAAAAAAAATACAATATCCGTTTCAAACTCTTAATTAGCTTAGCTTTAGCTTAATTGATACTCAACGATATATATATAACATATTGCATAGATTGCCCAGGACCTACCTGCTTCTTGTTGTAATCCTTCATGGCGTTTTCATACCCTTCCTCGAGCCGACCGAAAGCAATCGTGACCTCCGTGGTCCACCACACCTGTGACATTGTCAGGGCAACCTGAAAAAAATGATAATGGAATATGAGAAACGAGAACATTACAGGACATATCTGACAAATTTATATGAAAAATAACTATATTGGCATTGTTCATGGTATAGCAGCTAAAACAGGCGTAGATTGGCAGCAAATTCAGCCGTCTACACTAAGTCTTGTGAAATCAAACAAAAGCCGGTGTACCTGTGCAGGGTAGTCGAACACCCACTGTTCACGCGGTTTCTCCTCGTATGTCACCACTGCGTCCATCATCTCATGCCTCACAGAGGCACGCATGGTGTCCAGGAGCCGGTTTAGCCATGCTTCCACCTGAAAGGCAGAAAAAATATATGTATTTAACTCTTCTTGTTTACGTATCTCTAAAATGATAGTCTGTAAACTGTCAGAAAACCACATTTGCTACCAAGAAGGATAAGGATGATGAACCCACCTGTCCCACACATTCACACGGCTCTGGGAAGTCGACATACTCGCCCTCCTTGCTGTACATCCCCAGCGCTGTTTTTGTGGGGTTGCCTTCGTCATCTTCCTGGAACTTCAGCCGCGCCATGTTGTCGAACAGTTTCGGTAAGTGGCGTGCAACCTGTTGATAACAAAAGCCACGGTCATTACATCATTGTACTTGACAGACACCTTTGACTTTCTTTGTGTACATTCAGCTCATTCTGTCAGGAATCGGGGTCCTGCTTTTGAGATTTATAATTCTTCAAAATGCATATTGGAAACCTACACTATCTTACCTGTTTAAGCTCAGAAGTATATTGCTATTCTAAAGTGATAATAAAAGGGAAATACATATTTCTCACCTGAGTGGGTTGTGTTCCCTTTGACAGGATGTCCAGGAGATCCGTGGAAGACACGAAATAGAATCTCGGGAAAGCGAGACGCTTTGTGTCCAGATAATCAGCCAGGGCCTTCTCACAGAGGGCTAACCTGTTTGAACAAGAAAAAGGGAACAACCATCAATTGAACATTCCAATAAAGCTTCTGAATTAGAATATTTTATAACGATCCACAAATTCCAACAGATGCCGATTACTACACCTTGACTGTATCTCCTCTAGCTTCTCGTACAGACCGTCTTTGTTTGTGGCAATCACCACGTTCAGTGTCTGCTCTGCCTCCTTCATCAATTCCTGTAAGGCAACAGACATTGTTAATCTATGTGCTTTAGAATAGTAACTCAAGACACACTTTGAATGAGCTCCTTTATCACTAAATGCTGCATATATCGTTATATGGACCAGTACTTGCGAAAACGTACCTTGAAATCGGAATCAATGCCATCGAATCTTTTGGAGTCCTCAGGCAGCTGACTCCGGATGTCCTCCGAGCCGATGAAGATGCTCTCCAGGTGAGACCAGGTGCGCTGCACCTCCAGCCAGATGTTAATGACGGAGTCTGCCGTGGTCAGCTTCTTCTGCCAGCGTGAAACTTCCTCAAGGAAGTGGTCGATGTACTTGGACATCATCATGTTTTGTAGTTGAACCTGTAGCCAGAACATATGCAAAAATGACTTTGTATTCTAAGAATTTCATAAACATCTAATACTTATATTCTGTTATGTTACTGATTTGTCTAAACCCATTAACTCATATGTTTTACTGTATGAAAAGAAAGCTAGACTGAAGTATGAGATTGTACTTGGATTCCTTATTAAACTCCGATCAGCTGCCATACAATTCAAATACAAATGCTAAAGTTCCCAGAGTTGTAAAAAGAGACATATACAGGAGTACAATTGCATAACAGAGTCTATTGCAACTATTTATAACTAACTAACTTAATTTCACCACTTTACGTTATTACGGTATACAAGACATAACATGGTAGCCTGGTGGCCGCTACCACAGACACGTACAACATATACAAAATATAATTGAACGATGAGAAAGTTTCCTGACCTGGTTGTCCTCCAGTGTTTCTATGAGTTCCTCGTCCGCCTTGATGAGCGTGATGCCTGTCCTGACGTGACTGTCCTGTCCGAACTCCATGGTGGCCCAGGTGACGTCCAGCTCCTTCAGGATCTTCTCCATGCTCATCTCCTTGACGGCCTTGTCCACGATGTTCCTCACCTCGTCCTCCACCTTGTGCAGCTGCAGGTTCAGCAGGTCCGCCAGGGTCGTGTCTTCATCCATCACGAACGTCACCTTCGGAAAACGGTAGGTTATCGTGTGTCCTGTATTCAGGATACTTTATTGACACAGCAAAAGAACAGTACTGAAGATACTTTATTGACACAGCAAAAGTACAGTACTTTCATGAGGTCTATAACTAAACATACAGACTAAAGATGGCTATATCAAATAGTGCCCGCTTTTTTTGAGCTACCCTCCCGCTAAATGTATACACAGGGATCCATTGTATGACTTGTTTCTTATATGTTGACTGGCTGTCGTTCTGCTAATCAATCTCCCTACCCACGTGTTATCAATGTACTCAGTCCAAACAGATACACAAATCCACAGCTCAGCCACCCAAATCAATACTTTCGTACCTGAAAGTAGGAAATGTGTACTAGTTTAAACACCTTACTGCATAGAATGACCCAATGATTTCTCCCTACCTTTGCTACAGTCATGAGCTGCTGCCAGTGTCTCTCCCTGATGGCAGGGTTCTGCAGCTCCGTCACGGCGCGGAGTGACGTCAGGATGTTCTTTACTGTACTGTCCAATCCGGAGAAGGCGTCCCAGGCACGGACTTCCTTATCCAGGACCCGGATGTCCTTAGCGAACCGCTTACATTCCATCTCCATCACCTCCACGTTGATTTCTTGCCATTTGGTTGTCTTCCAGTCGTCGATACTTGTCTGAATGGAATAATCATAGAGAGAATGTAAAACCAGAAAATACCTCCAGCTGTAAGTGACACTTACTAAATAGGCAAAAGGGTAAATAAAAATGTTCAAGGTGGTTATATTTTTGCAGTTTTCGCCGTAACTTACCACTGCAAATTCATGATACCGCGAATATCTGTTACTACTGTAACTACATAATTGTTTCCACATGATGAAAATATTACCTGGACGAGGAAGATCATGTCCCATAAGATCTTGAGCAGGCGCACTTCCTTCCTGCAGGCCTTGAGCTGGCGATAGTCTGGGACGTTGACCTCGAATAACCCTGCTGACTCCAGCAGTTTCTGCATCTCAGCCTCCATGGCACTAAGCAGCATGTGCTCCTGTATGGTGAAAGGCATATAGTATGTGATTTGACTACTCGTGCCCATAGCGCTGCTCTCTACAAACAGTAGTTCTTTTAACCATACCATTTACCAATAGAAGTCTCAACAGTAACAGATTTGAAATATGAAACGTTAGACGTTCCTAATGTTTAATGTTTTATTCTTTCTTATTACTATTTTCCGCGTAAAGTGTCCTTCATATGTGACTCTTTATCTTGTTGTTTCGTGTTCATACTTACAGTATCAAGTCGCCTGTATGGGTCATCTGAGTCAAAACGGAACGGTGCTTCTCTTCTGAATCTTTCTCTGAACTCGTGCTGCTTGACCTGTGTAAGAATAGGAAAATCAAAAGATGAATATTCAGTAAACGGAAGGAAAACAACATTTAACCTAAGGAACACACTCGTCCAAAAGTATGCAAGTTATGGTCATCTTCCAGTAGGAAACTCCCATATCGCTCCTTACAGCAAAAAGTCATTTATACGTAAAGTTGTCAAATGTTGGAAAACAATCAAAGACAGAGATTATCCAATCACATGGCAAAACACGTTTCAAAGTATTATACTTACATCAAACTGCCCACATTTCCTCCTGATGTTGGCGACTTCATTAGTCTGAAGAGGAGCTACTTCCTGTTTCTTGGTAACAGCGTTCTTCTTTGTGTTGTTCCATTTCTCAGGCAACTCCTGTGAAAACAAGAATTCAAATATTCAAATATTTCACAGTAAAATCTATTCTTAAAACATGTAGGTAATTTAGCAAAGCGGGTAGCGTATTATGTTTGGATGCGTAAAGATTGGAACAGTGAGAAGTAGTGAAACTGTATGTGTAAAAGTCGGAACAGTATAGTGTACCTCCAGCTGCTGGTGAACCTCATCAGGCATCTCCTGGTTGTATGTCTTGAGAAGCTCTATGGTCTCCTTCAGCGGTTCGAACATCTCGTCTGTGGTCAGCTGCCTGTCCCTGACCGCCATCAGATGACCCATGCACTCCACCAGCTCGTCGTACTCTCCCTCCGTCACCTCCTTGGTCAGCCCGGCGTCCGTCACTTGGATGAACTCCGCCAGGTCTGTCAGGCTGGGAAACATGTGCAACGTCATTTTCAGCACCAAGGACATAATCCAATTCTCGTCATCATGATAGACCTTTTTTTCGGTTTGATATGGATTGTCAAATTGATAGGTTTGTACCGCAATCCATGCAGGATAATTGAAACGCCATTTGATAATCATGAAATGGCAATTTTTTTATCCAAAATGTGTTTTGTAATACAGTATATAAGGATCTAGGGGGAAGACGCTGTTGATTTCAGCCCTGATAATAGGTTTGATAGGTAGCGATTTTCTTTTTACAGAACCAGGGCTGTCTCCTGTGGCTTTTGCTAGTTTCATTCGGGAAACCGAATTATTCGGGAAACATATTTCCTAGGTCTATTTGATGCTTTCTACCATTAGCAACATTCTGCCTTACCTGTTGGTGACATGGTCGATCAGGTACTGCTTGAACATGTAGCTCCACTTTTTGATGATGTTCAGCAAAGCTTGCTTGAAAGGCCTTGAGTCTACCCGGAACCAGCCCTCAAAAATGGCCGTGTCGCTAAAACCTTCCACAACCTCATAGATCTTCTCGTAGCTGTCAATCTAAATGTGTTGGAGGAAGAGATATCAAATGTTGTAAATAAGTCACAAGACGTGTTTGGGATTTCAAATGGTAAAGAGTCTATCTCACGTACACACGTACAGACACACACGCACGCAGACACACACGCACGCACACACAAACATACACACACACACACACACACACACACACACACACACACACACACATGCACACTCACACACGCGCGCGTGCAAACACACGCACGCACATGCACACACACACACACACACACACACACACACACACACCTGTTCTTTGAACTGCTCGAGTGTTGGTGGGTTTTCTGGCACGCCGTCATCTGCATGGGCTTCAATCTCCTCTGCCGTGAGGACGTGGTTGTACAACAGGAACTGCCGCATGAACTCCTTCCTGTTCGTTGAATATAACGAATAACATTGAGTCGACGAGCAATGGTAATTTTGCTGTGGATACGTTATTTGGATTGTAAACCTAAAGGACGTATCAGCATAGTTCTTGAATTACTATTATGTAACACGATTCCATTAACGCATGGAAAAAGATTACATTAGGCTTAATCGTCATTTTTATAGCGATTACTTCTAATGGTGGCTGTAACAAGCCGAGCCCATATCCCCGTCCATTTCAGTTTAAACGTTGTAGAAAATACATGTACATAACAAAAATGTAGAAATGCGCAAATGTTGTTGCAGGGCTAATGTTGGAAGACAGCTGGGATCGGTTCATAGGGTGTTTTGCCAAAAACGACTGTTGATTACCTGTCGTCCACCCAGAGATAGGCATACTGGTCGAAGGAGTTCCTGTACTCGATGGCCTTGTTCATGACGGTCTGGATCCGCTCCATCAGCTCCGAGCGCATCTCGGACAGGTCCATCATATCCTCCAGGTCAGCCTGGGGGCGGGATTAGTTTTTAGTATTCTCGACGGTTCGTTAGTCTAAACTTAATAAATTATTGAGATATCGGTAAGAAGTTTTGTTTTAGGTAATAGCTTTTATATGTCTTACCTGGTAGTGTTCAAGCCCACTGTGCGTTGCAAGTCGCGGCACCAGAGAGGAAATCTTGTAGATGTCGTTGACAATCCCTTCCACCAAGTCATAGAAGCCGTCAGACACCCCGAAATCCAAGGCGGGGAAGAAGATAGTGTCTGGTACAGACAGTTCCATCCTAAGGTAGAGAAAAAAGTCTTAGAAACGTGCACGTACCACAACAAGCACAAATTATACAGTCACTAATAAGTGGCAGATCATAACCTACTCGTCATGGAACGTACATGGTTTTGGCAATGAAATGCTGTTGTGTTTGCACTACTAGTAACTAATGTTTTCAATTATAAGTGCAACAAATGCAATAAGATTTGTACTACAAATCTGTGCTTAGATGGGTCGTGAACACACCTGGATTCAAACAGCGGCACGTTGGTGGGTCTGGGTTCGGTGTTATCCAGGAGGTACTGCAGGGAACACTGGATGGCGTTGAAGAAGCCGTCCACAACCATGTCATCCACGTAGTCCACATAGGCACGCCACGTGTCCAACTCCTCTTCCGCCTTGAAATGCTCCAGGTTTTCCTAAAAAGCGGCAGCAAGACATACAGAATTCAACTGCTGTTAAAAGCTCAACTCACCTTTTAAATACGTATAAGTTATAACCAATTATAAAGGTGTGGCGTAGGATGGCCGAGTGGGTAGGAGATCAGACACACAATCGTGAGGTCGTGGGACCAATTCCTTGTATTCCCACGGTGTCAAAAATGTCTATGGGACTACTAGTCTTAACCTTACAGCCAATGACCTTTGTAAAAAATATATTTGTAGAATTTTGGTGATTCAATTTGAGGTAGTTGCAATTCTACGGAAGCAGTTAGACAAAGTTGTACCTTGAGAAGCTGGTGTATCCTGTCTCCCGACTCCTTGATGTCGGTGTACCGCTTGTTGAGGCGCTCCTGACGGTCCTCCAGGTTCAGCAGGTCCGGCTGGTGGTGCAGCTCACGCCGCTCAAACAGCGGAACCTCCGTCCACTTCGCCATGATGTTCTGCAAGAAACGTTGCGTTCGTGAGTTATTCGTGCTGTGTAGGATCCCCTTTTTCACTAGGGTGATGATCATACTACAACGGTATGGCGACCATTTTCTTACGTTTTATATATTTTCTTGTCTTCTATGGGAAGGTTTTGACGCTGCAATAACCAGCGTAACAGCGATAGTGGCTGTCGTACTAGAGAGACATAGTTTCACCGAAATTTTCAGCACGTTTGTTTATGCTTTCTTGAAGATGAGCATGTAAATGAGTTATTCACTTTCCAAAATGGCAATGCAGGGTAAGGAAATAAATACCAGTATTTACCTGCATCTGCTCAACGTTGTTCTTGGCCTTGCTGACGCGCTGTTCTAGATCGTGCACCATGTCACGTGTCTCCTGGATGTACTCCCAAACACCTGGAAATAGAAAGACATGTCTTCAAGATGTAACAACTGTCACTACATCTGTCAGACCTTTTCATCTCCTGTCATTCTGCCTATCAATATCAACCTACTCTGTCCGGACAAACAGATACACAAAACCCACAGCTCAGCCACCCAAAACAATACTTCGGTACGAGCTAAGACGTAGCTACTAACCATCGCTGTTCCAGGTAATGGTGGTCTCGGCACGTTCCATCTGCGAGTCGATCTCCTCCAGCCGTGCCTTGATGAGCGGGAACTCCACCTCCAGCACCGTGTCTCTGATCTTGTTGTACCAGGCCACGGTCAGGTCCAGGTTGTTCAGGTACTGGTGCAGGGTGTTGTTCCGCTGGTAGATGGCCTCGGCGCTGGCGGGGATGTCCGTCTGGCCGGCGTAGATCAGGTACTTCACCTCGCGCAGCACGGCGATCAGCTGAAAACGGGCAACACCGGCATGAGTTTGACAAGGTGTTACGGGTTGTGCGTAGTATACTTGTTAGTTAGTTGCTTTTTGAGGCTTGCAATCTTGATGACGGCGTGGAATGGCCGAGCTAGGTTAGCGCGGACACGAGATCGAGACATCGCGGGTTCGACTACTTGTATTCCTGGGTAGACGCTGTGTCCTTGGGAAAGACATTTTACTCCTCACTCCAGGTGTAAAATAGGTACCTGACTCCGGTTAGGGAGGTAAAGGGCGGGAGAAGAAGAGGGACTACTTTGACTAACCTTATTTTAATCTTGATTAATCTTAGCTACTTAAGGAGGCGTTAGAACATGTCAGGTGAGTAAAGGTTCCACTGCACCTTAGGATCGAAGTTGACGCTGATGTGGCGCGTCTTCTCGTCACGGTTGATGAGCGGCTGGTCCAGGTTGAACTGGCAGGTGTCGTCCACTCCCTTGGTCCAGTTGTCGTACACCTTATCATCAAACCTACGGGGCATTGACGGTGTGTTTTAGACATTAGAATGTGAGTTCCAACTTAGTTTTGATTGTTAGGGATTGTTCCATTCGTCGTATGGTATAGTATTCGTACTATCGTTGTACAATCGCACTCTGAGGGCATTCTAGACTTAGTTGGAAGTACGTAATGCAAAATTCAACTGTCTTCTCAACGAAAAGGCTGTCTTAGACCCCCGTTGGCTTTTAGTTCTGTTACAGCCTGTTTTAAAATCCTACGACATTAAAACTTACTACACGACGACCTACAACAAATGTAACCGCGCCATAAGATAATGGACCCCGAACATAAAGAAATAGTCGGCAGTTTGTTGTTTGGACTGTGTTGTACAGCATTGCTTTGTACTCTTGTCTGCAGTGTTATACCATTCAATGGTGTGAACTATGCATCTCACCTGGAGAGAAGCTTCATCATCTCTTCGTGCTTCCTGAAGATGATCTTGGCTTCCTCCGTGTGCATACACCTGTGGAAATGTACACATGAATCTGACAGTCCGCAAAGTCGTCTTGGTGTGGAGAGGAGTGTGCGTTTTTGTACCAAGGAGGTCCCTTTTTAACCTCCTTGGCTGTACAGTTCCTCCTAACAACGAGTGACTTTCCGGGTACATTTTTGGTCACAATATTTACCTTCATCTTCAATCAATCGGCTACTTTTGGGGTTTTACACTTCATCATTGAAACATTTACATTTGACAACAGCCATTTCAGACTGTTCAGTTTCTGATGATGTAACAAAAGAGCCGTGGTTACTTACCTTTCATCACCTCTTGAAGCGAAAATTTGGTATACGTCACAAAAAAATGATTTTAGACCGATAGACTTCGATAAATATTTCCATTACTGCCGATAGTTAGACAAGACGTTTTGTCCATAAGAGCAAGAGGTTCTCTAAACTGTATGGTACAACTTATGCTCAATAAAAGCGAAGATAAGTGACCACATATTCACATCAACGATTTAGAGTTAAGGTCATGTAAGTTATCCCCCCTCCCTCCTGTCACATGGACGTTCATCTTGGAGGGAAGGTGAGATAAACATATTGCACGGTTGTCAGAAATGATTCCAGGCACATGTGACCGCTTGGTCGTGTGTCGTAACTTCGGGTGGAAGTTGTCAGAAATACCGGAATCCTGTAAACAGCTTGAGTCAGAGAAGTCACCTTTTACCCATTGCTCATGCCACGCTTCCGTTAGGTCACGTGTTCTGAGCAACTGGGTTAGTTGCCCTGAAGAAGACCAAAGGTCTGGTCGAAGTTGTTGAGTCTACTGATTGTTAACTTTTCCGTTCAGTCATTAAGGAAAATTTGATTTTGCGGTAGTAAGGAATTCCATAATACGTAAAGAGATTGCGTTTACAAAATGTAAACATTTGTTATTTCGTCATTTTGACAATTTTCGAAACGGTCTTTTAAAATTCTGTGCCAACAAGTTCAGGGAATGGGTTAAGTCGAAAGGTCTGGTCAATTCTGCAGGGCGGTTAGGTCAAGGGTTAGGTCAAGTTCAAGCTGCCAGGACCCGGATGTTCTCCCCTGTTCACCAGCACACTTACGGGTGATCTATGTGCCTGAACTCTTTCTTCGGAATATCGATCCGTTCGCGCAGCTGCTTGGCCCACTTCAGCTGGCCCGACACTTGGGCCATGTTCTTGTTGACCACGGCGGCGCCGTCCGTCTCCGCGATGTACGCCATCTGCTGGTCGTAGATGGCCTTCGCCGTGTCCAGGTCCCGGTCGAAGATGTGGAGGAGCACGGGGTACTTGTGCTCGAACTCGTACTTGATGACGGGGCGTTCCAGCAGGGAGCCGAAAATGTCCAGGAGCTGTAAAAGACATGTGACGTACTGCGTTATAAATAGTTGTTACGTCTATGATTCGATACAGTCATTTCTCTTGGTAAAATTAAAATCAGCCATGTTGTTGTCACCATTTGTATGCAAGAAATGCATTACGTGACAGGGAGTATATGTTTAGTCCAATTTCCAGTAGACGGTAATTGCTGAGTGACCGCTGAACAACTAAAATTTGATTGTGTGGTGCTTGATTTTATAGTTGGAATATGATGCACAACGCAAAAGTATGGTTTACAAGATAACAATACACACACACACTGGACATATTAAGAAAAGGAAGCTTCTGTAATGTTGCCGTCAGGACCGCTGAATCAATGGAAAGAGAAAGGAACCACTTAGATCGACTCTGTTGACCTTGAAACAAGCCTCCGTCCCAGAGCAGTCGTCAAAGGCCCGGCACAGGATGGAGCCCAGGCGGTGATCCAGGTCCACGATGTGGTTACAGAAGTCTGTGTAATCCCGCGTGAATTCCTGCAAACGCAAGCAAAGCAAAAACAAATGAGAGACCGACAAGCAAATATGAGCTTCAGGAAGTGTATACGTAATGGAACATGAAGGAATTGATAAACACTTCCATTGTGGCGAAAAAGGGAAGCAAATTCAATTACGGGGGTGGCGGTTGACATTTAATTTTAATGATGGTGACAACTATTGATCTTCGTTTCTCTAACGGCTATTCAGAAGCCACGCACATTTCAACATACAGGTATGCTACTCTTCAAGTATAACATTGTTTTCCTTTAGTGTTTATGGTCTTCACACAGCTGTCGCTCTCACCTCGTCTTCGTGATCCAAAGCGTCGTACGACCTGTCGCTGAAGACCTTAAAGATGTCGCAGAACTCGTTAAACATGGCGAGGACCTGCTGACTCAGGATGTTTCCCTTGATGCCGGTGAACTCGATCTTCTCCAGCTTCATGAACTCTTGTGCCGTGGAGAACAGGTTCTGTGGACACGGGGGTGCCCAAAATTATTTACTAATTCAGCGTTCATACCCATGGGCAACTGTAGTTATAGCTCTCCATGCGTTATGATTAAGGGTAATATATTCTTCGTGAACTTGTCCAGGTTCACTATTCTCGATATCGCGTCTGACAAGTTTTAAAGAAGAAATTGGTGCTTTTAAACATATGAGAAGTATGCATTTATCGGCTTCCTGAATTCCTCCATGGTCAGATTCTGCTACTTTCTCATTCGACCCTTTTCATCTGTCTGACCGTTTAACCTCTCATTCTGTCCGCCAATTTTCCATTGGACAAACATACACATAAACCCACCAAAAACAATACAAAAGGAATATAAGCAAACTATTTAAGCAGACAGGCGCCACCACCGTACCTCCAGAGTCCGTATCCTGGCCACGAAGCTGTCACACCGGGCGAACACCAGCTGGGGGTTAAACTCCCATTCCCGCACTGCCTCGCCGTTCTGGCCGTTCTCAAAGTACATCCGCATGTTGGCCCTACGGATAAGGATAAGGAGGCGTTCTCACTTAAAAAAATTGACAAAATGTTCTCGTGAACCTTTATGTTTGTATGTTACCATTTTCCTGTCGAACATTTTGTTGAGCAATGATACAGGGTTGATTCAACTTACTGTGTAAAGAAAAGACATGGAATCTACTTTCTGTATTGTCCTAATCTCACTGACGGTGTTACCAGACTTATCACACTGCTGACGAGTCTTCATACATGCAGTCACAGTGAAATGGCACAAGAGCTATTTATTTTAATACCTCCGATCCTCGTAGCTGTCCTTGAAGACGGTGAAGACTTTCAGCGCTGCTTGGATCTTTTCCAGAGACTCGTCCAGCTCCCCCTTAAACAGGTCTTCCGAAGGGAGGTAGTGGCGACACTAGAAGATACAGGACATAGGTTCATCATTTTATTATCCAATTTAAGTTCCTGCAAAATACGCTGAGGCATAAAAGGCTTAGCAACTGAAATACAAAAGTACGAAATACCCACCAACACGATACATGCACCGGAAAAACACAAAAAGTATCCCAAGCTATAACAACGGAACAATGATTGGTTGGTCAGCGGTCGTTAATTGTGTCTTCTGTCTATCAGGGCGGTGATCGATTCTTCAAGATTTATTGAAAGAGGGCCTTCAGATAAACAGATTTTACCTGTTCGATGAGCAAGTTGCAGATCTCCTGCAGAAGCACGATGATCCTGGGCGCGGTGTTGTAGAACTTGGAGTTGCTCCAGACGAGACAGACGGTGTGCATGAGGGCCGGCATGGCCTTGGCGTACTCGTCAAACTCGAACTCCTGCAGGTCGTCCAGCTGGTTGTTCACAGGCTTCAGGTACATCGTGATGTCTTTGGCCTCAGTCACAGCTGGAGGTACATGAGAATCGGTTTAGGCTTTATGAACTTTGTAAGACCACTACATGTGACATTTAACTCGATTTTGGCATCCCAATACTTGACCTGAAGTACGTAACTTAGCCCTTTGCTTTCTGAATCGACGCGGTCGTTACAATATTAATGCATCAAGTGGCTAAATGGTAGGCCCTTTATTTCCCCGCATAGCAAGATAAATGTATCGTGACGCCATTTCGAAGGTGTGTCTGATTGTTTTCTTATTTCCTGACAAAAGATCGATGACATAGAAATGTAATCAAGTCTTTGTCATCTGTGACATGTCTATTTTAATGAGTCGTATGGTATTTAATTCTGATATTAACGTTTGTTTGTTTGTTTGTTTGTTTGTTTGTTTGTTTGTTTGTTTGTAGAGGTGCGGTGGTACAAGTACAAGCCTGACCTACCGTGCACCACGTCTGTGAACAGGTCCTTGAAGGCGGGGAAGTAGCTGCTGTTCATCCTCTCCAGCAGCTGTCCCATCTTCCGCACGCGGGGCTGACGCAGCTGGACGGCACGATACAAACACAGGCTTAGAACAATTTTAACGTCTCATGACGGTAACTTTGTAGATTAGTAAGATTTGGTGGTGGAAAAGAGACAAATGCTGAAGATGACTCTCATACAAGAAAATGCAGAGGGCATGGGCTAGGAAAGAGATGTAAAGGAAAGATTAAAGAAGATGCCGTAAAAGCGAAAGACACATATGGGCAAAAATGATTATCGACTGTAGTTTGAATGCCATCCTCCGTTTTTCCCTTTTCGCTTGCTACGTACATGTAAGATGGTAACCAGGTTATACCAAATCATGGTATACACCATGCAAATAACGAAGGAAAGTGGTGGTAACCCACAAATCAGCAGTGGGAAATGATGAAACTGCTAGCTGGAGAAAAAAAAGAGGATGAGACGGCAGTATTTAAAACTCTGTCTACCTGTTCATAGATGCACTCCAGGTTGGAGCATCGTGAGTTCCAGAAGTTGATCTCCACGTCCGGCCCGGGGTGCAGGCCGGCCAGCAGCGGGGCGGCGGAGTCCTTCTTCAGCACCTCCCTGATCTGGTGCGACCAGTCGATGATCATGGACTCCAGCGAGTGCAGCAGCACGCGGTTCGTGTAGTTGTCCTCGTAGAAGTCGTCCGAGTGAGGGGACCTTAACGTGGTCGGAGGGGAATAGGGGTTAATCTCCAAGCTTTTGTTATCTATATTTTATTTGATTATGTTGTGTTGTATGGACCCCAGAAAAAATACTGTCAAAACACTAATTAGGATCCCAATAAAAGAAAAAGGTAGATGTACGGATTTCTTTTTGTTTGTTTGTTTGTTCTTTTTAGTGTTACAAATACATTTTGCATAGAGAAAGGAGCTGAGGTGATGCGTGTTAGGAAAGGAGAACACCCTGCTTGAATTATCTTTTTTTGTTTCACTTCTCGTCCTTCCCAATGTCTTCTATCCTTTTCCCCAAGCAGCCCGTCTTCTAAAAAATATATATTCTAGCTCTCGTCTTCTAAGAAAATATGCATTTTAGCTGTTTTCCGTGTTTTCCTCATCTCGTTTATTTCCTTGAAAAGCTAATTTACCATTATTAACGATATCATCACTCACTGTGTTTTGATGCTGTAGAGTTTTACGTCATATTGCAAGTCTTTCAGAATTCTTTTCAAAAATTGCAATATCTTACCCTTCCCTGCTGTCGTAGCCGTCGTCCGGTTCCGCGGCGTCTTCAATCTTCTCGGCGCCCTCCGGGAGCGGCAGCAGCGTCTTGCCCTTGACCTGCCCGCCCACCACGTACACCTGGCTCTTCAGGTTGTGCACGTGGCGCAGCACGTCCTGGGACACCACGGTCGGCCACCCCTTGTGGTTCCTCTCGTTAGACAGGAGAGGTGCCAACACCTGTCAGGGAACATCAGGGAAGGGTCATTATAATGTCCACCCATTAAGGCTATTTCAGTATTTGTTTGCGTGCGCGTGTGTTAAATAGAGGTATTCATCATAAAGCGAAAATCTTCATTGACACAACAAAAGTACAGCTGCAGCGACTTTCGTAAGGTTTTCTACAACTCTTCCTACGAATAAGTACCCAAATGCATATCATAGTGCAAAGGTACATACACGTAGCATTAGGCAAATGTGGCTTTGGGGAGACGCAATATGGACATGATGGCTGACACCTACACAACCGGGACGTTAGGAAAGGGTCATTGTGATTTTTTTTCTTTTTCTAATTTTGATCACGTCATCATGATGTCATAAAATTTTGCATAAATTGTCGTTCTTGTAACAAAGTACTTGGAGAGAAAATCAAGAGCCATACACAAATATAATAAGACCATTTGTTTACTCGCATCTGTCTAGTAATAGAGGTATTCATCATAAAGCGGAAATCTTTATTGATACATGTACATCAAACGTAGTACGACTTTCGTACGGTCTAAAAATTATACTTAGTACTTAATCTCTTCTTTCTTAGTTGACGTTCATAGTTTTCCTTCAACGCCCAAATCACAGTGTATAGTCTATTCATAAGTACGAACTCGGGTAGAAAACACCAGTAGTACACTGCCTGTATACACGAACGTGTGACATGTTTTGAACTTTCGCACTTGTTTTTGCCCGATGCCGCCCGGTACCGGTGTATGGGCACCTGTGTAATCACTTCGCTGCACTCCAGCCTTTGTGGCCCGTAATCTGAACTGTGCTGTACGGTCTGTATGGCCCTCCTGTTACTCATTGTCAGCCGCTCTTGTGTTGCACGGAAAGACGTGATAAGAAAATCTATGGGTAGTGTGCACTGTTTAGGCGGCTATTCTTAGAATTGGTTCGCTTTTTGGAAGAAACAAAACACCATTAACGTTGTCGTTCTCCCTACACTTGGCTGCGCCGTTCATAAACAGCTGGCGCTGATGGCAGGCTGTTATTTACGTTGCTATGGTGAATAATTATCCATGAGAGCGGAGTAAGGAGGGTTAAATCCGGAAATAAACACGGTTCAAGGATTCTACTTTTCCACTGCGCGCGCCCTGAGGGAGAAATGTTCCCTTGATCGCTCAGACGTGATGTTTGTGGTGTAAATTCTATCATGGCTTCATAAATGTCCCGTAAGGGTCGTGCGTTATCCGCTATCGGGGCAAGGTAAATACTGCGACAATTTCATTTGTGTCGTGACTCATGTGGCGTCTAACGTTACTCCATAATCGACTCACGGGAAACACCATTCACACATTCACACGTACGGTTCTCAACAAGCAAACAATATAAGTGAACCAATGTCACTTAATGAATCCCGTTGGCACAAATTAACCAGAAGAACGCCGTCCCTAGCAACAGACAACACCGCGGTTGTTGGAGTGAGATATGGCGGCGGTTACCACGGACAGGGGCTACAATGTCAACATTCTTCAATACACCGATAAATCAAACATGGCGTCCGATCAACCTCCGAAACTTCAAGCTTCACTTGTACATTCCTATGACCTATAATTAAATATAATTTTCTATGGGCTTGACTAAAGGGATTGACTAAAGCTGATAGGTGATAATTAGTGTCGAGGCTGGAGACAAAAACGAATGTAATAATTAATTGCTATAGACTGTAATGATGTCAGGTAGACCAGACGAACCGGTTCTGAACGACTTAAATGGGTCACCATTTTGTTCCTATCTAATACTGGGCGTGAGGAGAGAAAACATCTTTAATTGTTGACAAATTAATTGTCGCGAAATTGATGAGTTGTAGCATGGGAAGTGACAGAAAGGCGCACTAAAGGTGGCTGGTATCCGGGACAAGTAAGCCATATCTAGCACCTATTGCTACATCAAGCGAGTAGAAAATGATTCTGAACAAATAGTAACAAAGAAATGCTTACCAGTAATTCAACTATTTCATAAACGGTTAATAATGTTCATAATATAACAGTCAAAATGTCATACTACAGATATATGCATATTCACCCGTGCAGGGAAAACAGCCTTTCTGACGACCAAAATTTTTCTACAAAATTGGTGTCATGCATGTATGATCGACGTAGATTTGCGGAGATTTGCGAATAAATAAATGCCGAAATATTACCCAAGGAGGAAATCATTTTACATCTTTATAATTCAAGTATTTACCCGCCTGCTCTTAGTACACTGTTGAAACATTCTACGTTTATTGTGTGATGTAAAAACAGGAACACGTGTGGTTTGTTTTCCGGAATTTTCACCGATCCATTTTTCCGTCACGATCACGTCCGCGTCCAGACGTAATCACACCTGACCATCACGGCAATGGAGTTCCTGTGTGTTTACTCTTCATCAATACACCGTTTCATTTGACGGGCAATCATTTAATTCTCTGTGCCGGACAGAGATTTCAGGTGTTACCAATATGGAAAAGAAAAAAACACAGGGTTTAGAAACATCGCATTTAAAACCCTTGTCTTTATTCTAAATGACTTGCAGTATTGTTGCTGGTGGTTGTGGATCGGTCTCCAAGCGACAAGCGTAGCGCAAAGTCCGTTAATACCCCCGTCACATTGCGCGTAAATCGATCGGCCGACTAGTTGGCGAGCTCAAAACGACATTTACGGCCGTAGTACGCCCGATGTTCCGTCGAGCATCGCGCGAATTTTCGGGATCGCCGGCGATTTTTTGGAGTCGGCCGAAGCTCGCTGGCACGCGAAACGTGTTCTTAACATCAGCGACTAGTCGCCGGCGATTTTTGAGGTCGCAGAGCTCGTTTCCAGCTCGCGCGTAGCTCGCCCGTAGCCCGTCCCTGTGCGGCCGAGAGTCGACCGATATTCGGACGTACATCCCACAAGTCTCGGCCGTATTTCGTCTTTGAAAATCGGGCGACGGTCGCTGAATACGGTCGACCATCGCGCGAGCTTCGCGAAATATTCGGGCGACCCTCTTCCGTACCTCGCCCGACTTGCGCAAAGTTTTTAAATCGTGCGTGCTTCGAGCGAGCTTCGTGCCAGTGTCGGACGAAGGTTCTACGAGCTTCGGCCGAGCTCCTGTGAAGTTATTATTTATTCAGCACCTGTGACATTTCTTTGAGATTGCATTGACAGTATACTGTGTAAAGTTTGCAGGAGCAACGTCCCACTGATTGTTAACGTTATGTTTACGAGAAAGTATAAAAATAGACAAAATCGTCCTTTGTCCTTTTGTTACATCAACATTCGTTAATGAACAAAAGCACTTTAAAAAGATGACGAGGTTTTAACTATATAAGGCCAAATGCCTAGATTTTTACCTCAACTGATTGAACGCACATGAAATCCTTTACTCTTGTCCTTTTAGGAGGTGTGTGCCGGCCCTTATTTCAGATGATTGTATAATAAATTAACGTTTACACTTGTTCATTCTGGAATGAGGTTGACTTTTTTTTTCCTTAGGGTGCCTTCATGTGATAGATATCGATATTACTTACTAGTTGAAGTTTATATTGCATGGGTCTTTTTACCTCTGTCTACTTTGTTGACATTGAATGACTAATAATCTTGTTTACCGGAAGATTCATACTATTTTAGACACAAGTATACTATACAGGCAAAGTTTTAGAACAATATATATTATTAGCTTTGTTCAGGTACACGTGTATAAAAAATTTTGATATAATGATAATCATTATGTCTTGTTGTACGTTTTGGTTGAATGGTGTAGAAATCGTGCCAGCATCGATAGATCGTCGACCGTAACTCGGGCAACGTACGCCCGTGTGTTTAGCGAGCTTCGGCCGACTCCTGTCTGGTTAAAAAGGTGGTCGTTGTGTTAACCAGACGGTAGTGTACATTTGTGGCTCTTGTGGTAGTATTTGAGTTGGATCTGTCACAGAATTCCTGTTTCTATTTCTATTTCATTCTGCCAGTCCGCTCCATTACTTTGTTAAAAAAATATTACGACAGGTCAAACATAAAGATTGTCCAAACTATTCATTTTTAGGTGGATACACTGGCCTTGCTTCATCTGCTTGCCATGTCATAGGGACTTCATTATCATAGATGTATTCCCAAGCAATCGCCCGAGCCTCGCACAATGTGACCGCGACGATTTTCAAGCCAAAAATACGCGCGATCGTCGGTCGATCTCAAAATCGGCCGATCTTTCGGCGATTGACAAATACGGCCGAAGCTCGTCGACAATGTGACGGGGGTATAAGCAACATTCACCCATATGATCTGTAATCATACCGATATAAATGCGCACATTTCCGCTATTCTGTATTGAATCTACTGTGTTTTAGTTATACCAATGCCCATCTGACATAAAAAAACAATCTTTTGTTTGTATTATTTAGATACACAAGACTGAATGGCTTAAAAATGGCAATTGTTCGGTAAAAAGCAGTCTAAATCCGCACGGAATGTATTTATTTTGGTTTAGGTGGTCAAAGGTGGACCGGAAAACTACTGTGTCCAGTAGTAACCGATTAATACAGGGCAAAAGCTGACAGTTCTGAGACCAGTAAGACTTCTCGGCCAATAAATGTTCAGAGGTTGTTCAGACTGTCAACACTCCGTGTGTATCGACGTGTCCTTAGAAACTTTGTCGCTGTGTTCAGACTCTACATGAAGCGGAAAGTAAACATGCGGCTTTGCATACATGTCAGGGGGTCCGTGTAGGGAAAACGGCTCTCGTTCGGGGGGCTTTGGAGTGAAAGGGCACTCCAGAGAAAGATTAGTCACTGGGCCGCATTGTTCCCGAGCCCAGAATTCACCAATGGCCTCGCCAATAGAAGACAGAGTACACACAGGGTGGCTTTTCATTCACGGACTAAGTAAAAGCGGTCAACCCATACATTTGTCTTCGCTGCGTTTTTGTCGTTCAATAGCTATGTGAATAGCCGGGTAGTCTATGGCTTTTGGTATGTGTATGTATGCATGTGTTGCTTTATCTGACACACACACACAGCACAGCACATGGGTTTCAATTCAAACCAGGTATACTCAAATCACGTACACCCGGAATTTGTCGTTGAAGCGTGTCCTAGCAAGGACGGCTATTCCCCCGTTAAGTCTGAAGCACCCTCGGCACCTGGCCCGGAGGGGTGGCGACCGTCACGGCACATCGAACAACTTTTCACCTGTTGCGTCCGACAGCTCATTCCGCCATACTGAAGGGCGCTGTTGTTGTTTATTCATACTCGCCTTCTTGTATATTCACACTTGCCTTGTTTTTCGTCGTCATAACATCAAAAATCCGTTTCCAGTCGATATTGATTATAAATACACATCAAATTTATGTGCACAAGCGATTCAAAAGTTGACTGTCATCTATCATTTTGAAAAGTTAAAATCGTGGACTCAGGAAAGTTGACAATGTTAATTTTGAAGAAAACAGGTAATCAGGTTTATCAAGGTTTAAATTTGATTTTAAACCTCCTTGGGTTTATGTATAATATTTTTGTGGATTTCTTAGTGAGGGGAAAGGTGGGTAATAAAATTCAGGTGACATAAAAGTGACACTCACCTCGTCTACCAGAGCAGACAGCTGTTCCAGCGGAGCGTACGACAGATCTCCGTACACCAGGCTCTGTTTGTAGTTGTCTCTCCCGATCATCTCGTTGTTTCTCTTGACGAAGTACACGGCCTTGCTCTTCAGGTGGTTGGGAAAATCCAGGCGAACCTCGATGTTCCCGGCCGTGTTGGACATGAAGATCAGCTGCGGGTTTTCCGGCTTCTCGAAGAAGTCTGCGATCTTCTGTCGGTTGTCGTCCAGACCGATGCATTTGTTCCACTTGTCGGGTTTGAGTTTCATCGCTCTCAGGACGTAGTCGGACAGAAACTCGTACCTGGGATCGGTGGTGGGGTTGGAGGAACCCAAACCCTCGACCTCTTCGTCGTCGTCCATGTTGTTTGACTGTTTCTTGCCCTCCGCTTGGTGTGTAAAACTCGATCTGTGACTCTAGAGCGTCCCCAGACGCCCTAACCCTTCCCACCTGGATGTAACAGTGAGCCGAGTGGGAGGAGTAGAAACCTTGTACGTACACAGGTTGGAGATGTACTTCCCTTTGTGCTGGGGAGGGTTCTACACGGATAATCTTACCCGGTCCACAGTGTGTGTGGCAGGCAGCGATAATGGCGGCGAGGTAAATAACTCCGGGGCAACACGGAGGTGAGGCAACCCATCCGGGCTGACAGCCTATCGGGCAGCAGGAACCGGTCACGGGAGGGTAAACATGGGACAGGGGTGGTGGGGCGGTACGGACCTCGGACGGGAAAAAAAGTTAACTTTCACATGGACTTCTTACACTACGCAACATCCTTTGATAATAAATATATATATATACACACAGTTACTGTGGAAATCAGTGTTTGGTTTTTATGATGTTCTGTTCGCCATCCATATGTATGGAGTTTCCCTTCACCTTTTAAAATTGTCTTTAGTTTATATGTATAATACATTATTTGAAGATTTAAAAAAATGCGGAAAAAAATAAAATTTCAGGCTTGAGACATAGATGTTAAGAAAAGAAAAGGTCAGAAACGTGTCATGGTAAATATATTGAAATAACGTATTTAAACCTACTAACTTGAAAGTATAAAATCCACGGAGCACGTATTTTACAGACGCTTTTGTAATTTCTGAAAGGCACAGACTCATGCTTACAATGTGATGTCGCTTGTAGACTAGTTCTTTGGGGAGGAGACTTTGAATAATTGATATCTACATTTGTAAGGGACGAATTGTGCCAAGTTATTGTCACTTCACATGACATACTTTCGGCTTTTCTCTGCTCCCCCCTCAGGGTTTTACATGGTCTGTCCCAAATCAGTAGTCACGGACGCTTTGATTGCGTTGCCAGGGGCGACGGGTGACGCCATCGCGCTGACGGGCTGTGAATGTACGGCGGCATGTGTGAATACACCGCGCGGATCCGGACAAAAGGCCCGGGCAGGGAAAGGGCACGGGTTAATGCAGGGATAATTGGACTCACTTGTTGGGAGAGTGTTTAATGGAGGGTCGTGAGAGGTCAGGTGTATTAAGTACTAGTATGTGGAAGGTATTGCGGGGTGGACATGTAAATGTACAAAATATATGTAGAATGTTGGATTTCCTTTACCATGCAGTGCAATGTACATGTATTTGTTGCTCTCTTCATATCAACAGTCCACACACTTTGCTCCTATGTGTGTTAGTTATACTTACTGAAAATTAGTGACATTGGTTCAGAAAAAAAATGGTCATCTACTATTTCAGTTGAAAATATTTTGAACATACAAAATGATGTTCAAGGCTTTGGCATTTTCAAAATTAGTGACAATTATGTTAGTATAGCAGCAACACGTATATATATTCTCTATGTCAGGTATCATTTGGGAACCAAATTTTTATGAGTTTGGGCAGTAGGGAGGAGGTATTCTTAATGAAAAAAGAATGTACATGAAAAAATAAGAGTAAGAACATGTTCTTTATTCACATTTCTCTGGATAGTTGGTCAGTGCTTCATCATTAATTTGAGAAGGATATCAGGTTATTTCAAATTTTGTCTCAAACTGTCTTAAAGTATTTGATCAGACGATATCAGGACAGAGTCAGTCCTGCAAACTTCCACTGAGCTGAGCTTCTATTATGTTCAGAAGTTAAAACATACATCTAAATAAAACATTACAACTGCTTACTGAAGTCAACTTACCTTAAATGTTCTAAAAAAAATTATACATTTAATTCCAGAAACTCGTTTCATATCTTTTATTACCATAGAGTCCATACTGATTTGACTAAACTAAGACCTGACAACAGAACAGTCAGAGGCATGTTACTTTATAATATTAACCTTCTCCCTGCTACCTAACCCTGTCTCAAAAGACTACTTCAGCAAATAGAAGGTTAAAAACAATAACGCTGTCTGAAAAAGTAGGTTTCTTCAAGTGTTACCTAGCCTGGGTACCATCCCCAGTAGTATATTCGCAAACTCTATAACTGGGTCTGGACTTGAACACATATAAAACGATTGGTCATGACGTCACGTAATGAGCTAGCCCGAGCAGCGGGGCTTCATTTGATTGGCTGAGCCTCAGAGGCGACGGCCAATGGCGCGCCTGTATTTATTCAAGTGATGTTTGTTGTTTTGTAAACGCGAGTGTTCCTTTTCTCGGTGTGTTCTATTTTGAAATTGTTCAATGCATCTTTTTGCTCATTTTTGAGCGACGATATTCCGTCTAAATCGTCCAAAACGGACGTGATTGCGAGGTCAACATCAACCTCCAAGAGCTGAGCGGCTTGTGCGTCAGCCCTGTTGATGATCGATCGCGGAAAGACTGACTACGGCTATATCATGTGCGCTTTAGCGTTCGGTTCGCCGTCGGACATGTTGATGAAAATAAGATAAGAACAAGGATCTATCTTAACGTAGCCGTTCGGACGTTCGAACGGACGCTAACGTGTCCGAACGGCCCTTACCTAATATGTACACACCCCAAAAAGGGCTTAGACGAGTAGGACCAATCAGCGCGCTCGTTCAAAATCTGAACGAATATTTAGACTCCAGACGCTACATATGTGTTCAAGTCCAGACCCAGTTATAGAGTTTGCGAATATACTACTGGGGATGGTACCCAGGCTAAGTGTTACCAGGAAGTAAGTATAAACTGTTGCTGTGAATAGCATGTTAACAGTATGGTTCTAGTACGTGCCAGCAGTCTGGTGGTCATGTGTCCACAGCTTGCTGCATGGTGTCTTCATCTTTAGCAGGTACATCACTTGTGTCTGCACCTTCCCTGGTAGTGTCTGCTTCAGCTGTTAGCTATAACACATGAAAAATACTGTTAGTAAGCCTGGAAAAACACTGGTATGAAGACACTGACATTAAGTGAAGAGTTGAGTATAAGAAAGTGAATGTTTTACACTTTAGTATATTGTTAAATAGTATTATTATGGTGTAATTTTGCTTGGGGTGATCAAAGAAAGGTGGACATGAAATTCATCTTTTCCCTAATTTGATCAAATTACATACAAAGGAATGTATCTTTTTAGAATATTTTGAAAACAATTCTTTTAAGCTTGTAATGTTAAGGTCATCCATGTGTAGTGATACGTTATGTCAGAATAGCCAGTACCTGTGTTGCACCATCCTGCTGTTGTGCAGAGTTGTCTGTTTCCTCTTCACTCAAGCCTTCATACCTGTGCAGAGGGAGGGTGGACAACCAGCGCTGCATACTGACATCTGGAGTCAAGGTGTGCCCAACAATACTAGTACATCTTACATACAGAATAGACCTTAAAGCTTCACTGTACATGTATACCTGTATCTGTGGCTCTATCTGTACAGTTGGTATAGCCGTCCTCAATCATAAGCTGCCAGCTTTGCAGGCATGTAGCACAGCAGCAGCTGGCTATGTTACATTGAACAACAACCTTTGCATATGTGACTGCAAGGAATGTTTAAAGCTATCTAGTGAGGATGCTTCTGCTATACTTGGTGGCAGCGAGCTCCACTCTATGTTAGAAATTTTTTGACATTGGTTGGTAACTCTGGTATTTGAAGGCTTGACTATTTACTGTTGTTGCACACCAGGCTTGCGAACTAGTCAGACACACTACAAAGTCATTAATTTGAAGGATACACCCTGTCCTCCTTCTCAGCCTTGATAATGGTGGGGTAGATGTATTGTTCCTTGAACTTCTCAACTGTCTCCTATGGACAACAAGAGCAATTTTAAGAGCAATTCACACCACAAGACAGCTGTAACATATCATATTACAGATGGGGTACTGTTACTGTATCTATCAATATAACACATTTCTAATCCCTAATTGGGGAAAGTGAATTATCTTGGGAACAACTTTTGTTTCAAATCAAGTGTTTCATGTATGGGTGATTATTTCATTTTTATTTTATTTTAAACATATTACCTGATGTTCGTCCCACTCCAAAGCCTCATGCAGCCCATCTCCCCCATACTTCCTGTTGTAATGGTCAAAATGAACCTGTGGAAACAAAGACGTTAATCATGTCAGCTACAATACAACATTATTTTTGTTTCCAATGTAAGTTGACATCATTTAGCAACATGTTACAAGTTAATTGAAATTGTCAATAAAATCTTTATTCTTGATCTCCTTTGATTCTCCCAACAAAGCACAACTAAAGACAAAAGGTTGTAAGGTTGTACTGAAATGCTTAGTGTACCTTATCCAGGACCAGACCAAGCCCAGGTGCCTTTGGAATGTCACACTGCAGAGATAGAGGGGAAAAATATGGTTTTGAGATTTGTCAGGTAAATCCAAATTCATTTATGTTGGCTGCTAATCTTTAGGGTTTGTTTCATGATATTGAATGCTTTTTAAAATCCTTATGGAACAACTTGCCCTGTGCAAGTACTAGTAATAAGTGTACAGGTATACAGAATAACAAGTAGTATCAATGGCTTGAAACATCTACTCAATGGACCACAAATATTGCTGGTAGTCAATGAGTCAAAGTTGATAGGCCAGGATAAGGAAGACGAACTTGCTGCACAGAAGCTTAACACATGAAGATACACTTAGCTGTGAAAAGTGTACTGAGTAAAATGGTATGTTTGGAAATAAAGAATTTGTACCTTTCCGCTCTGCCAGGCCTTCTCCAACATGGACCGTGGTGCTAAACCTCGCACGATTGCCAACATCATCCCTGGGGCAGGCAGTAAAGGATGTTAAAACTTTCCAACAGAATCTTTACAGGGTAAAAAGTTCTCCCCACACCAATATGGTGCAGTGACCATCTCTGTTTCTATAGTCCTCGGGTCAGACATCAGGGACAAGTAACATTACAGTTACAGGGGTGCACACTTTCTAGATACATAACAATCTTTCCTTTTCTTTTATCTCATTGCTTACTAGTATCTTATACATGCAACATGTATTTAGAGTGGGTACAGACACATAATGTGTAGATCATGTGGTTGACATAATCTATAGTACAGCATATAGTTAGTGAGCTGCTGCAATAGTTTTAAACTCAAGAGATTTCTTACCGATCATCTTCCTAATCTGATGTATCATGAAGCTCTGGCCCTTGATGGAGATAACAGTCCACTCAATGTCGTCTCGTACAAAAGTGTTTAAACACTGGAGATAGAGAGGTAAAAGGGACATGAAATTAGAGAGGTTTCTTCTTGGAAGTGGTTAAAGCATTTTGAGGATTGAATTGACGTACAGAGTAAGTAAAGAATAAGCTAGGGAACAGACAATTTGTAAGCAAACATGGAAAGATTCCCTTCCACTGTTTAACACAAACACTTGTCTGTACCACATTTTAGGTTAAGCAGTTGCTTAAGCACCATACCATATTGTAGCAACACAAACTATCTGAAGCAAAGTTCAAAGAAAAGATTTTTACCATACCTTGGATTCTATGATGTACCTCTTGGCACTTGGATCCTTGAATTTTCTGGAAATAAAATGTAAGGAAAATTGAACACTCCATAACATTGCTCAATATCGTAAAAGAAAATTTAAAAGTTGAACATTTTCCAATTCCAACTTGACTTTTCAAAAGGAATGAAAGAATTTGATCACAAAGTTAAGAAATGTGAAAATTATGAAATACTGACTTCCCGGAGGTGAAGTTATGGAAATTATGTGTTCCCTTGTACGCCGACAGGACGTCATTCACTTTCTCCATGATCTCATCTGAAACATGAAAATAACAGAGAAATTACTACATCAATAAAAGACAACAAAGGCACAAACAGTTAGTAATAGTGTTATAATATTTTGAAGTGAATTAAATATAACATTAACAAAATTCTAAAACACCAAATAATCATTGTACACTTTCTCACGTATTTCATACATCATATTGATGTAACAAGTCAATACTCCAGGTGTTCTTTTCAAAGAGTGTAATAGATTACAAAAATGTAAATTGATATAAATACCTGTGACTCTGAAGTCTTGTTCAGTTTCCTGTAGAGAAAAAAAAGACAAAGTGTAGTGAGAGATTGCAAAATTGTCAGATCAAATAATAAGTCTCCCAGTAATCATGTAGCTGTGTCAAATTTCCGGTACCCTTGTTTTTGTCTAGTCATAGCAAAGTGAGTTATGGCATGGTCCTTACCTCCTTGGTTGGTGCAAAGGAGTACGTAGGCAGGACATACATGTACGTCCGAGCGTCACATGCATTCTTGGAGTCAAAACCATTTGTTGTTCTCTTGATCCCTGAGTAGATGCAAGATTTATTGTAACATAATTTCTCAACAAAGACTTTAACTTTACCAGACTGTGCATTGAAATCATATGTTTAGTAATGTTATACTCTTACTAAAATCCAAACAGATATTGCAACAGATACTTCTTGTACTATTTATTAACACTTTGGTTTGAATATATTTTTTATTTAACCTAAACAGTAATCTAATGAGTAATGTTGACGTAACCACATGCAGATGGGTTACTAGTAAACTTACCGATAATTCTGATGCTCTCAGCCAGGCAGTCGTTGATCTTCTTGACAGCATCGTCAATCATGTACATCTTCAGTGACACGATCTGACCAGCTGCTGACACGCCCTTGTCTGTACGGGCACACCGCTGGAAGTGCATCTGAAGAAAAACACAAAACCAACTTGACATTCACCGAATAACAAAGTTCTTCATTCACAACCACTTGTTGAAAATCTATCCAGTTGCCTGAGTAACAATTTCTTTATTTGTGTATCTCAGTACCTGGATGTCAAACCTTCACCAATGTATGCATCTTCAGGAAAAAAAACAAAACTGGTGACAATCAAGTGAGATCTCTTGCCATTGTAGTCCTGCAGTTGCGTGTTTGGCCTCTAGGGGGCGCTGCTCATTGTGAGCTTGGATAGTCAAGAGTGCATGCTGTTCTGTTACATGTATAAGTGTATTGTGTACATGTATGTCTCATACACTCCCTAGAGGGAACAGAGTAAAAGACAAATAATATGCAAGTGCATGTGTGGTTCTTCAAGTCATTATTGAAATAAATTAAACTATAGATACAAGAGGAAATTTCACTTGAAGTAGAGCTGTGTAGACCTGTGAATATTTACAAGTTTTCATAATTTGCTAAGTGCTAAGTTGTCAAAATTGTCATCTTTGAGATGCAATTTACCTATTAAGCATTTCTAGTGTAAAAAATGCTGTCCACTTGTGCTTTATTGCCTGGTAGTACACGTGTGTTTTGTTCAGGTACAGGTACACCAAATGTTCATGTCTGGACCTGTATCTGAAATATCTTCAGAAGGTACAGGTACAGGATTAAATTTAGGTACACAGCCCTAACTTGAAGGGTATGTCACAAGTTGTCTGGCATATCTGTTCCACTACTTCAGTCATTTGCATGTGTTTACATTTACATACCTTCTGCATACAGTCCATGTGATCCTTAGGGATGGCTCCAGCCTTATAGAAAGCTGCCAACAAGTCCTCTTCAATCGTCTTAAACCCCTGATTTCTGTCAGAAAAAGAAATCATGGTATGTTGAGACAGGACAAAGTAACAATTTTGATGAAAAGTTCACATATACAACTGCATATCATATATCAAACAATCCTTTACTGAATGCTGAATTGCGTATTCAGTTCACCCGAAGCCTAAAAACATAAACCTCCCTGCCGCAGATGCCTTTTTGTGCCAAATCTGTATTCACTACAACCTAGTACAAGGTTAGGCAGCAGGTAGAAGGTTAGTACGCTCACCTCTGCATGCCCATGTACCCCACTCCTGAGTACGCCAACAGACACGCCACCTTCCTCTTCTTGGCTGTCGGTCTCTCCCAGTCAGGATCACCACCTGGCTTACTCTGGTGAAAAAACAACAGATGTCAAGAACATTTCCTCCTTTACACTGGCATAAAACAAAGAGGAAGACTAATCAACTATAGCCAGAGTGCCATCCTCTGTAGTTTCTGTCGGCTCCTTAATGTCACTGTGGTAGCCAGGGACATTAGGGAGCCAGAGATAGCACGGAGGATAGCACGCAGGATAAATCTACTTTGGACTGTGTCTGTAGCAGGTACCACCATTGAGGATAATTTCATTTAAATACTGTAAAAATAAAATGGGTATAATCATTGTACATGTATCTCAATGACAGGGAGGGGGGAGAAGGTTACAATTTTTTTCTTTGATTGTCAATTGATTCATTATTATATGGTAAGGAAAGTACATTTGTACAACTAATGTACCTGAAGTTTGGCCTTTTTCCATCGGTAGGACTGCTCCTCTTTTGTGTTATGACGTCTCTTGTTGAATTTTTTACCGGTGGTGACATCATTGCTGTTAGAGGGAGTATCGTTACTTGACGTTGCTCCAGTGTTTTGGCCTGTTTCCACCTCCTCTGGTCCTTTTGAAAGGGACTCAGTCGTAGTATCAGTCCCAATTTCTAACTTAGCTTCAGCTGCACTGTTGGTTACTTCCATGTTTAGTCCTACTGTTGAAGTTCTGACTGTATGTAGAAGTAGTCGCAGTCCACGGAAGGTGTGCAGGATGGGTCTGGTAATCATCCGTGATCACACGTGCTGACTGGCTCTCAATCCAGTGGTCGGGTAGAGATGTCTATTCACCTTTATCAAAAGATTACACAAAAACCACAACAATAAACCAGAGTGCTATCTACCACACATAAGTCATGACCTCAGTTTTCTTAATATGCAATACCGCAGAAAGCTGCTAGGGAGCCCATTAGCAAACTTGTCGTTTGCTCAAACTTGTCGTTTGCTCTGCAGACACCTACACCCATAAAATGTTATAGTTACCTTCTTGGCAAGGGTAAAAAATCTATCATGACCAAAGTGATTAGGTATATAAAGAATGAAGTTGAAATCTACTGTACAGGCACTGTAACCAACCTACCAACACACGTCTGAATAATTTTTCTGCCCCCCACCCCTCCGCAGAAAATTAAAATGGTATGAAATTTCTTGACATTGCAGCCATAAACTTTACTCCTAAATTTTCTCATACTACCTCTATTTCTATCTCCAAAGAGCTCTGGATTTCGTAAACCAATTTAGTATCACACACAGTGAAAACCAGTTTGTTATTCTACACATGAACGTTTACCTCGTGTGTTTCGTCGTCTGTCCGGAAGGGCAGCGCTTGCTGGAGGGACGGTCCATATATTATCCTGTCTGGGTTGCTACATAACGTTCGCCTCGGCAAAGTTTACCTGGCCCTTGGGTAAAATGTACACTATGTAAGGTTAAAAGACTGTGTTGGGGTTTTAACGTTCAACAAATTGCCAGTCTTACAAATTTACACGAACCCCTAAAAGGTTTATGGATAGTCCCCAATATTCAGGACCACCTTTGACCTTTTGTAGACTCTGCTATTTTCAGGAAGGGTGACGTTACTGTGAGCATGAGTTTTGAGCATGAAATCTTTATCAAAAGCTATTTAGATCTAATATTTCATCTAAATATATGTTAATGAGTGTTTACTAGCAAAGTTTTATATCAAATACATTAAAATATCCCGAGTAAAAAGTAGCTTCTGTCTACCCTTTTATTGAATGGACTGCTCTAGCAGTGAACTAGTTTACTTCCGGTTTCTGTCAGGCACAGAAATAGCAACGTTACATTTCTCGGGCGGAATCTTACAGTTTTAAGTTAGCCTTCCTAAGACAAGAATTTTCACAGGTGAGGTAAACTGTTAACCTACTTTTTATGCAATCGTGGTGACTCTAGGAGGGCTTCTTTCACTTGTTAACTCAATTTTATTACTGTTGTTCAGAAGTGACTTTGTGTTTAATAACACAACTTTGTCACATGTCATAATGCAAAACAGCATCTGTCTAATGTGTTGTTGTAACAGATTGACTGTGAAGATGGTACGGAGTCTGAAAGAGTCATGTCTGAGCTGTCTGGCCTGCAACCTACACTCCATCAACAGGGTGGGGCATTACCTAGCTACTAGACACAAGGTATTCATGTCTTGTTATGCCATGTGATGCTCTTACCAAGGACATTATACTCTGTGTATAATGTCCTTGCTCTTACTTAGTTACGACTAGGCATGGCGACTCTGGAAATTGAATCGGGCGTATTTTGCTTTGGCTATATTTCATTTAAGACTGCCAGAAATCACTTGACAATGATATGTTGTACAACTTGAAACAGTTACTAATCATTAGATGCTACAGGCTTTCCTGTGCAATTTATCAGTAACGCGTATCCAAGGACATACACTAAAGGCAATGTCCCTGGCTTATCAAAACACTTTTATAGCATGCTATTAATGTTAAACACACTAGTACTAATACTTAGTAGTAATACCTATGCTCTTATTTGAACAGGAACTTCTCCTAGAATGGCTGGTGTATCATGACAGACTGACACCTGAATACCTGCCACACATCACCTATCACCTGTTCTCCTCTGGGCTCAGGACAGTCAACTTCTACAAGTGTCAGCAGGTGGGTAACCTTCTCCCTGCTGTCTAAGCCTATTTCAGTTTGGTGCCAAAAAGGCTACCTCAGCAGGGAAATGGTTAAGTGTGTCCAGAGTGCTATTCAGAGTCTCCAGCTTGAAAAACAGAAGATGGAAAATTGATAATGCAAATTTGTAAACCTTTTTGACACCTCTAATAATATTTATACATGTATGATAATAAGACTAGTGTTTGTTATGATTAGGTGTGGAATCAAAGATTGAAGTTGTTTTTATTTTGTTATAAGTAATATAACTATCACTTACCATATTCAAATTGTTACATATAAAAAGTAACATATTTATATTTAGCAAAACTGAAGAAGACTTTACATCCAGCATTATACTTTAGATGTCATGTACACAATTCACCTTTATATGTACCAAATTCACCTTTGTTTGAGTAGCAAAATTTGCCCATTATCTTTCCATGTTGGTTAAGAGTAGAACATTTTTCCTAATTCTCCCACACAGGTAACTGATGCAGTACTAACACAGTTAGGTGACTGTGGCTGTAAACTAAGGTCTATCACCATACATGGGTGCTCAGACATTACAGGTACATTAACCCTCTTCCACTGACTCCTGTTGTAACATTATATGATCAGATATATACTTGACTAGTTAAGCATTCACAGACTAGCAGTTTAGACAATACAAACTAGCAGGTTTGGCCATACAAACTAGCAGTTTAGACAATAATACAGTTGTTAAAGCTGGGTGCATCCAACATTTTGTATGTCAAATTTTTGCACGTAATATATGTAATAATTGGAGCTCAAGAGTGGACAGTGCTATAGGGTAAGTCTACAGGTTTTGCCTTGCCCTTGTTTATGAGTGACCTTTGTTTGTTTTTCAGATGCAGGAATGACGGCCTTGTTGCAGCACCAGGATGAGTTAGAGGTGCTAGAGCTGAGGAAACTGCCTCACCTGGTCACAGACTGGGCGCAGGCCGTCATGTCACCTGTGTTAGAACACCTGGATCTCAATAGCTGTACTAGTGTAGAGGCACCTGGTAAACATACTTTTCAACATTGAAATTATTTGTATTCTAATAATCTTAGCAATGTCTCAGTTAGCATAAAACAGCAGAATTGCATGAGCACAATGGTTGCTGCTTGAAGAGAGCCATACCTCCAGCATGTTAAAGATCCCACCACTTATTAAAATGAGTAGAGGTGCATCCCAGTGTGAGTGGATCAAACCTTACAGTCCAGTCTTTCACAGCTTGTACCTACAACTGGTGTGTTACACCCAAA